CACCTATGTGGCAGGTTTGGCTGGTGTTCATGCAGGGCGGTTGCATGCACGTGCATTGCCAACAGCTCGCCAGACCAAGAGCAACCAGTGCGCCGGGCCATTAGTTCGCGATAGCCCCGCCATCGATCTCCAGCTCTTGCGCAACCAACCTTCGTCCTGATTCCACATTCACATCCACATCTACGCCCAAGATGCAGTCGCTACCCGACGCGCGATCGCAGAGCTTTGAGGAGCTGTACGGCCCTCCCGAAAACTTCCTGGAGATTGAGGTAGGCTGATCTGGAGCTTCCATACCCTTGTGTGACTGCAGCCTCGCTCACATTTGTCGCGTGCACAGGTTAGGAATCCCATGACGCACGGTAAGTCGAGGCGCGTAGATATTGTAAGAGTGTGTATGCTGACAGGAATTTAGGAGTCGGCCGTGGCATGTACACAACCTACGAAATTGTAATGCGCACCAACATTCCCGCCTTCAAGCTCAAGTCGTCGACGGTCCGCCGCCGATACAGCGAATTTGAAGCCTTCCGTGATATTCTTGAACGAGAGTCGGCGCGCGTCACCATACCACCCCTGCCAGGCAAGGTCCTTACCAATCGCTTCTCGGACGACGTGATTGAGCACCGACGAGAGGGACTCCAACGGTTTCTGCAAATAGTAGTTGGCCATCCGCTATTGCAGACTGGCAGCAAGGTGCTTGCGGCATTTGTGCAGGGTGAGTTCGACAGCACATGTGTGATAAGGGCGGCAACTGACACCTGGCAGACCCAAACTGGGACAGGCATGCGTGGTAGACGAGTCTGAGCAGGGCTTGCTGGCCAGTAATCGTCGAAAAATATCATGTTTTACTACAGACAAATTCAAACGGGCAATCTGGAGCAGTAATGGATAATGTCCTCATTTTGGTTTGCCGCATTTTCTGCGTTACGGAGCGACGAGGCGTTTGGGAAACTGTTTCTTACTCGATTTTAAGCAATGGGAGAATATGACAAGTAATCAGAGAATGTGACAGGCTCGTTTGCTGTCTTTGCGCAGATGATGATTCTTACCTTGTGTACCTCGTATTGACTTCAAATAGCCCTAATACATGCTCTATGCGCACTTGCCCATCACCCCATGAGCCCCCCACGTCTGTGGGCGCGGAGAGAGCCGGCCATAACTAATTGCAAAGGAAACTGACAGCAGCCGTCAATTTCTCCGCGCAGCGCTAGCGATGCAACAAGAAAGGTGCGGGATTTAGTCATAGCAAAGTTTTTGGCGCAAACTACCTCGGTCTTGCGTGCTCCTAACCCCGTCGCTCTGCATCTTCAATCTATCCATCTTTGACTTTAATCGCCGTTTCGCATAGTGACCGTTTTCCGTCATGGGTATGCCATCGCAGCCGGCGTCCAACGCCATCATCTACCTTACTCTAGGCGCTTTTTTGTGAGTACAGGTAACGGCCCTCGCGGGTGCAAATCATGCTAATTCCACAAACCAGGGTCTTGGGATGCTTCATCGCATGGCGGTTGCGACACCAGTCTAAGACCGAGTGGCTGTCTAGCAACCGCACACAAAAGGGTCAGAGCATGCGTCTTCCCCAACTCTGCGCAACCGCGCGAAGCAAACCCCGCTACTTTTCATTGCAAGAAACCAGCTAACAGTCATGTAGGCATTCCGCTCGCTTTCAATTTCATCGCATCGGGTGAGTGCACTCGTGCACCTGTGCTTTGCACATGAAGAGCAGCGGCAGTATCGGTATTCACCATCACGACGGCTCTCCAATGGTAGTATGGTGACGTCGTTGGAGCGTGTGTTTTCGCACGAAGAAAACTTGAAATCCTCCAGGTTCGTATTGAGATCTCTCACAGAAGCCTGATCTCATGCCTGCTGTGTCCAAGAGCCATTACTTGTTGCGCAGTAGTATGAGGTCTGACTTTTGTGCGGCTACACTGCGGGCGCGGAACCGAGGCTGGGGTTGTTGCATCAAAGATACCCGTATCTAGGATGTGTTGACTCCAGCCAAGGGAAAGCTGAGAAGTACCGTAAGAACTCGATCAAGATAATACTTGCGTGAGGAACGTGCTGCCGCTACTCCCCCTACACAATCTCCCCCCTTGTTGGCTGATGCATAAAGCTGACCTAGGCTTCCGTAACTCATAGCTCTCGGATCGGGTATCTTGTTCACATACCCTCAAATTGCCACTATTGCTGGTATACAGGGTCTACTGATATATGCGCTGTCTTCATCTCTGCCGCTTCTAGTCTTTGGTGCGCTGGGTCCCATTATCAGGCGCAAATGTCCAGAAGGCTTTGTCTTAACCGAATGGACCAGACAGCGGTATGGAGCTGTTGCCGGCATTTTTCTCAGTCTTTGCACACTCATCACCATGTTTCTATACATGGTCGCTGAGCTTTCGGCATTGCAGCAGATTGTCACTCTCCTGACTGGGTTAAACGGGCTTCCAGTTGTCATTGTCGAGTGCGCCATTACTACCATCTATACTTGTAAGATTACCGTGTTATTGAGATGAGAGGGGCGAGGCTGACCAACGATGACAGCACTTGGTGGCTTCAAAGTCTCTTTCGTCACCGATAACATCCAGGGTGCTATGGTCATTGGCCTCATCATCCTGGGAGTGATTGCTGTTGGCGTAGAAACCGATATTGACCGCTCGTTGATTGATCAGTCCGGCTATCTCAAGCCCAGCTTGTTGGGATGGCAACTCATCTACATTCTCCCCGTCGCTATTCTTACCAATGACTTTTTCCTCTCTGGATTCTGGATGCGCACATTTGCTTCCCGTACGGACAAGGACCTGTGGATTGGAGTCTCACTTGCCAGCATGGGCATACTTATCATTCTTACGTTGCTCGGTGTCGGCGGTATGCTTGCTGCCTGGTCTGGTGCCTACACCATTGGCGACGAAGCCAACGGCTCGCTTGCTTTCTTCCTTCTCCTCGAGAAACTACCCGCTTGGGTTGTAGGTGTGGTCCTTGTCATGACCATCTCGCTATCTACCGCTGCGTTTGATTCTTTCCAGTCCGCCATGATTAGCACAGGAAGCAACGACTTCTTCCGCAATAAGCTCAATATCTGGGTCATTCGCGCTTTTGTTGTGGCGCTCATTTTCCCCGTCGTTGTCGTTGCACTGCGCAGCCCGGATATCTTGCAGATCTTCTTGATCAGCGATTTGGTCAGCGCAGCGGTTGTTCCTTGCCTGGTCATTGGTCTGAGTGAGAGGTTCTACTGGTATCGGGGATTCGACTTTGTAGTTGGTGGACTGGGCGGTATCTTTACAATTTTCTTGTTTGGACTTGTGTACTATGATGGCGATGCCACGCTCGCTAGTAAACTGCTCTTGCTTGAAGGTGGATTGTATGCAAACGACTGGAGCGCCTTTGGTAAGCTGATGCTAATTCCTTTGAAACTATGATTATTTGCTAATCAAAGCACAGGTGCTTTCGTAGCCGCGCCGGTTGGTGGCCTTCTCTGGGCTTTTGGCGCTTGTGCTCTTCGCATTAGCTTCCTTTGGGCAAAAGCTAGGGTTCAGGGCCGTCGCTTTGATGCCTTTGACCGACCTATTCCCCGATCTTTCGATCGACCCGGTGCGTTTGATAACCACGACTCTGATGCTGTACTGGAGGACAGCACTATCCAGGCAGGCCACAAGGGAACGTTCTTTTAAGGCCGAAGAAGCAAGTGTTGCAAACGAAAGCGCTAGGGTTTCGCTGAAGAGAAATTAGGTGAGAAGCAAGAAGCTGGGGAGTGAAGTGTTGAATTGTCAAGGGACATGGACATGAGAGGGGCGAGTAGGAAAACATGGAGCAAATTAAAAATACATCACTCTTTTGCATCCACTACTATTAAATCCCAAACTTGCTCAGCAATCTGTGTAAACTCATCATCGTTCAGTCGGACGTGAAAAGGACATCATAGCGTTGAGCCCATATCTGATGGAGGCATAGCACCTCAGTTTAGTACCATATACTGAAGTCAGCCTCCGCTGACTTTACTACCATCATCATTACACATTGTACCTGTTTGCCTACTTGTTTCTCTTGATGTTTTTGCACTGGCGCTATACCAGAGGACATGGCCAATGATTGCAATTTTGTGAGCCAAGAGGGAAAAGAGACACACATGTATTCTGAGTGAGCATGTTTGATGTGGTCTCCATCTTCTTAGCCGCAGTCCTCAAGGCCTTCACTGACGCCGAGCATTGGGATATGGTATTGCGCAATACTTTTGGTTCATGCTCGGTGATTGACAAGCTGGTCATTTTTCGTCACCACGGTTTGGGTGCGTTGTGGATTCCTACTGTGGTTGTATTCCTCTCGAATATAGGATGGTAGGCAAGAGTGGATTGTATGATCACTCAATGAAGGATATGTTCAGCACAATGTTCAGATCTCTAGACTCGGATATTACACCTGAGCCTTAGAAACTAGACGACTGGTACCAAAAATATACTTACTGCATTGCCTATATCTGATGAAGCGGGCTTTGGCTGGGATTCCCTAGGATCTGTGCTTAGTCGGTAAAGACTGCGAAGGAGCTTCACCAAAGCCGAATTTTGGACTGGTGTACAAAAAAGGGAATCACACACAAACAACGACATGGAATATTTACGAATGCTTCAAACTAGGGGGTTAAATAGTGTGTAATTGATTACAAAGTACTGAATTCGCAGATGAAGGCACCAACAGATTTGAATTATCACAGCTCTAGCTACTGTCCACTTATCGAGCAATCTTAGAAACTCATCTGATCAACCCGTACTATCCTCCAAGTGCCATGTCATCTCTTCAGTCTACCTTGGCAATCACCGTGTCGCCTTGAGGAATAGTCTCACTCTCCAAGCGAGCTCTCGAGAGCCAGCGAACGTTTGGGACCCCGCGCTTCGTGCGAGCAGGGACAATCTCGCTAGCGGCCACACCCCTGGCAGTGACGTTGCTCGGAGGAGCCACGGTATCAGCAGGTGCCGTTGCATTCAACAGTTCCGCTACAAGAAACAAGACCGTTAGCAATGTTGTCGTGTACAAGTTACAAAGGGTAGGGGTGGAACAGACTTACCAGAAGGAGCCCAAGTAGTGTTCAAGTTATCACCTTCAAACATCAACTGGCTCACAGGCCCGCACTGAGGAGGATCAATGAAAACACCAGTTTGAGGGAAAGGATCCAGAGGACCCCACAGATTGCCGTTCTCGTCAACGCCAATGCCGTTAGTCAACCAAGGCATCTGGCTAAAGTCATTGGCTGGCGGAGCCGTTCCCGGAATGACTTGCTCGCCGTGGACCCAGACGTTGATGGGCTGAACGTATGTGCCGGCCAGAAGTCCGTTCTTGGTCGTGCGTGTCTTGGGCACACCGTTGATTTCCGCGACAACCCGGTATTCTCGTGCGTAGCCGCCTAGAATATCAGATCGGTACTCGAATTTGTTTTGCTCGTTGCGGCCGCCGCGGAGACCCATGGTTGCGATGATGCGGTCTGTGACTTTGCCGGTGCAAGGGTCAGTGTCCATTGCGTAGAGGGCTACTGTGGTTCGTGGGTTGGATGCGAATCCGATGAACTACAATCGCTTGTTAGCGCAGGAAAACGACCCTTTGCGAAGGATATTGGGACTTACGCGAGACTCTGCGAGCTCAGTGTTGGGGCTGATGTTGTCAATTCCGAGGAGACCGAGCTCCATGCGTAGGTATACAAGATCGCCCAGCGTGGTGATCATAACATTCTGGGCGACGATGCTGTAGGCAATGACCTCGTTACCACGTCGGATACCTGAGAACGTGACAAAGTCGCCGACGAGGAAGGGTGCCATGGAAAGTGGGTCTGGGACAGAACTGTGCACTGATAAGCATCCCTCCAAACGCTGCATCACGCGATGCCTGTGCATGGGACTTACAATGTACCGGAGCCCTGGAAGGGGCGGTTGGTAGATGGACAAAGCGGGTCAGATGTGCTCCTTGGGATACACATGGGAAAGCCTGAGAAAGAAGAAATGCTCGGGCTCTCATCATCAGCGGTAAAGAAAGGTGCTTGGGTGTAGCCAACGGAGAAGACGGCATTGGGGTCACTGATGCGAACAGTGGGACCCGAGGCAATCTTCATGGTTCCCTCAGCAAAGTTCAAAGACTCGATGAATCCACTGCTGAGTCCCTCGAAGAACTCGTAGGCAATGACTTGGGCTGCAATTGGCTTGCCATTGATGAAGTTTCCAATCACCTGTTCTCGAGGTTAGCTATGGGGGGGGGGGGGGGCATGAGTTCAAATTCAAGCGTAGCATACGTTGATCTCATAGCCCAACATGGACTGCTTGTCTGCTGTAAAGTCCTTCCAAGGGACCCATGCGGCGGGGAATTGGACTTGAAGGTTCTTGGGGACTTGGATATTGAAGCCATTCACAGTGATGGTTCCTCCTGAATTGTAGGTGTCATCGGTAGCAGTTGCATCTTCGAAGCCTCCCTGAACGAACAATGGAGCGTCTTGTGCGAAGACATTGCGAATGAACAGAAGAAGAGGGATGTAGAGAAACAACGTGTAGAAAAGATTGTTGGGCGCCATTGCGAAGTCTGCTGTGGAACTTTGAAGCCTTGACTTTGCTGATGGTTTCAATACTGGTCATTTCGTGTCCCTTTTATATTTCATCTCTCATCCCAACAGTTGCCAAAATCGACACTTGAACGTAGGATTCCTTCACAGAAAGGAGTCGAGTACATGCCAAGTAGTGCTCAGTATTGCCTCAACACCACCCCGTGGAGTCGTTGCCCAGAAGCTATGCTCGATTCTACTATTCACCGAAATTTCTTCCTTTTTTCAATAGTATGGGCTTGTCTCTGCAGGAACCCGGCCGCCGTGTATGCGAGTATAACCTTTTACAGAGAACTCACGTGATGGATCCACCAGGTCTTCACCGGACACCCCTAATCGCAATGAATCCTTGAATATAGCTGAATGGCCCCCAGAACAGCTATTCCTGGGGCATTCTAGTAGTCAGCGGACGGTCTGTGGTCCGCACTGCCAAGGTTGAGCCAAGGGAGCGGGCCACGAGGCTCGAATGCAAAGTCTTATGTCAGTGGCGGTTTCGCAGGTCAATATACCAAGGCCCTGACGACAAACGAGAAAGTACTCCGAGACATCGACGGCATGAGGCTGCATCTGTGTTAGTGTACGATAGTCTCAGGCCACGGCCATGTGCGCGGTGCCGATCTTGCTCGATATAGTAATGGTGGTCGAGTATGCATTTAGCGAAGAAGAACCGTTTCAACGTACGTAGGCGATTAAAACGGCTGCCAAGATGGTACGTAAGCATGAACTTCCAAGAGTGCTATATTTACTATTTAGCACAGACAGCACGGTTTTTCTGCATCAAATGGAGGCAAGTTGATACGTCAAGTGAGTCGGGGAATAATCCGTGGGGGTTCCGTTCGCTTGTAGTCCAGAAAGTTCCCGCCGGGCTCGGTCCGCACACACGGTTGTTCATGCATGCGCGGAGCCTCCGCGTTTCTCTCCGCGTTTTAGCATGCCAAGGAATCCTGAGGGCTTAAGCCATACTCAAGGCCTAACAAGACTTCGGACTACGAAGAGCAGGCACGTGGGTTAGATTTCAGCATGGCTTTTGGTTAGTGACTCGAGGTAGGCTATGTAAAGTAAGTCCGTCGAGTAGGCGGAGCGGCACGATGCCGTCTTTGGCCTCCCGCTCCGGCTGTGGGTGTTCGATTGGATGTCTGGACTTGACAGTCACTAGCATTGGGGTAAAAATCTGTGGGACAGCGTACTTGGCAGGAGTATTGAAACACGGGCCATCGGATGCTGCTAGCACATCCTAACTTTTGCTTTAGTTACAATAAAAGTAGGTGCACTCCAGACTCAGGTCTCCACAGAGTCCGGGGTACGATATAGCTCATTCAATGTCAACCCTGTCTATGACAAGCCCGCAGAAATCCCTAAACTATGTTATGCCTACATGTGTCATTTCAAGCAACCTGACTAAGTCTGTCATGCTCGGAGCCTATAGGCACAGGGAGCATGCTTGCCCAATTATATCTCACCGGATGAGCGATTTCCACTTCCGCGCAATGTGTAAGTAGGTGGAAGATTCCCCCTTGCAGACACATGCATACAGTGCTAAACTGCATGACGACCTTGAACTACTTTCATTTCCTTTCAGTGGCCCATGAACGATCGAGATGATAGTAAACCGATAGGGGCAAGAAAAAGACCAGATAGTGGAGACCTCAGCCGACAATTGACCATGTAGTGGAGACCTTAAGCGACGAGAAATCAGTTTGTAAACGCTTAGCAAGACAAGTCTACCCTCCCTCCTAGATGAGAATATACCGCAATCATACCGTGGAAGTATTGGCGAGGCCATGTGCACAGTAGCCAAGACACAATGAACACCCAAATCGGGGTCCTCGAGCGCCAAAGCCTTCGTCCGTGTGGCCAAAGGCACCACGTTTCAATGAAACATGGCGTCTTGGGAGTTCAAGAAAGGATGTTCTTCCGTCTTGGATTGCAGCTGAACTATTCCTATCCCCTGTATAGTTCACGCCCCCAACGGCGCCTCCAAGAAACAGTCGCCGGTCAAGCAAGTCAGCAGAGAGCTTATCACGATTCATACCAGAGATAACGGCGAACCTCATGTGATGAACGACGAGTTCAGGGGAAGGGGGAGCGGGATGAGGTGTGCACTGAGTGGAAGAAACCGTTCAGGCAGAACACCACAGCTCGTCACTGATGTGTATAAAGGGCAGAGGTTTCCAGTCGAGAAACATCCTCACCACTCATCCTTTGAGCATCCGCTTCTCAACCTCTTCATTGTTCAAGATGGTCTCCAAGTATCTCTTCTCAGCACTTCAGCTCGCCTCGCTTGTCAAGGGCATCTACGGCCAGGTCGAGGTTCTTGCTGAGCGTCCCGCCAAATATGTCGATGACACTCCTGAAGCAGAGAAAGTGGCACTGGCATCTATTGTCGAAGATGATCCGGCCGATGTAGTTACTCTCATGGCAAAGGACTGGGAAAGCCCAGAGTACCCTCTCATCTTTGGCAAGGCACTGCCCATCCCCCCAGCCAAGCAGCCAAAGTAGTAAGTTTTCCCCCCACCACACCCTCAATGCTCTGTCACAATACTGATTGGACACAGTAAATTCACGAATCCTGTTACTGGCAAGGAGATTTGGTACTACGAGATTGTCATCAAGCCGTTTACCCAGCAGGTCTACCCCAGTCTGCGTCCTGCTCGTCTCGTGGGCTACGATGGCATCTCGCCTGGTCCCACCATTATCGTGCCCAGGGGAACAGAGAGCGTGGTACGCTTCGTCAACCAAGGCGATCGCGAGAGCTCAATCCATCTTCATGGTTCGCCTTCCCGTGCTCCATTTGACGGATGGGCTGAAGATCTGATTCAGCGAGGCCAGTACAAAGGTAAGTACAACACTGCAATGCCATTCCCCCCACAATCTCCTCTAATGCTAATAAACTGTACCATAGATTACTACTATCCCAACAACCAAGCTGCAAGATTCCTCTGGTACCACGACCACGCCATGCACTTCGTAAGTCCCCCTCGCCACCCCCTTTCATCACCCCCAACAAAACCCCTCAACGACAAAATACTAACCCCTCCCCCCACCAACAGACGGCAGAAAACGCCTACTTCGGGCAAGCCGGCGCCTACCTAATCACGGACCCGGCCGAAGACGCTCTCGGTCTCCCCTCGGGCTACGGCAAATACGACATCCCGCTCGTCCTCAGCTCAAAATACTACAATGCCGACGGCACCCTGCAATCCAGCCTCGGCGAAGACAAAAGCCTCTGGGGCGACATCATCCACGTCAACGGCCAGCCCTGGCCTTTCCTATCCGTCGAGCCACGCAAGTACCGCCTGCGCTTCCTCAACGCAGCTGTATCCCGGAATTTCGCTCTCTACTTTGTAAAAGCTGATGCCACTGCTACACGGCTGCCGTTCCAGGTCATCGCGTCGGATGCAGGACTACTTACGCACCCGGTTCAGACATCGGATATGTATGTTGCAGCGGCTGAGCGCTACGAGATAGTATTTGACTTTGCGCCCTTTGCCGGCCAAGCGATTGACCTGAAGAATTTCGCGAAAGCAAATGGCGTCGGTACTGATGATGACTACGCGAATACGGATAAGGTGATGCGGTTCCGCGTTAGCAGCGCTGCTGTGGTTGATAACTCGGTGGTGCCCGCGCAGCTGTCGACGATCCAGTTCCCAGCTGACAAGACGAGTATTGATCACCATTTCCGGTTCCACCGTACCAACAGCGAGTGGCGCATCAATGGCATTGGGTTTGCCGATGTGCAGAACCGTATCCTGGCAAAGGTTCCTCGCGGCACGGTTGAGCTTTGGGAGTTGGAGAACTCGTCGGGTGGATGGTCGCATCCTATCCACGTGCACTTGGTTGACTTCAGGGTCGTTGCGCGGTACGGTTCTGAGAGCACGCGTGGTGTCATGCCGTACGAGGAAGCGGGACTCAAGGATGTGGTCTGGCTCGGTCGCCACGAGACGGTGCTTGTAGAAGCGCATTATGCTCCTTGGGACGGCGTCTACATGTTCCACTGCCACAACCTTATCCACGAAGACCAGGATATGATGGCGGCGTTCGATGTCACCAAGCTGCAGAACTTTGGGTACAACGAGACGACTGACTTCCATGATCCTGAGGATGCACGTTGGTCTGCTAGACCCTTCAACGTTGCTGATCTCAATGGACAATCGGGTCTCTTTTCAGAAGCATCTATCAAGGCCAGAGTCAATGAACTGGCTCTTGAGCAGCCTTACAGCGAACTGGACAAGGTAACGGCTTCCCTTGAGGAATACTACAAGAAGAATCAGAAGAGACAGGAAGAGTGCAAGGACAGGCCCGCTGGCCCTATCCCCCGGTACCGCAGGTTCCAGGTCTAATCGAGATTGACTCGAGACTGTTAGTCTAATACTTCATCTAGGATGATAACGGAAGGTGTATGGCTAGTATAGCATTCGTCCGATAGCAACATAGAGAGATTTTTACTTGTATCTACGCGTCTCTATATATCCAAACCCCAGCCACCTCATCACTGACTCTTCCTTTCTTCATTTTCCGCCACTGGCTGATATGGGTACTTGATAGTAAGACACCAGATGTCGAGGTAATCACATATAGTCCAGATGACGTCCACAATGAAGCTTCCATGCACTCCGATAGCGAGTCCTAGACACATGAAGACGAATGCTACTTGATAAACGTCGTTACCTAGAGCGCTCGGCCATCCCACACCAAAGTTTTCTTGCAGCCGGGGTCCAAGAGAGTCAATGACTCCGAAGATTAGAGGGTAGATGAGTACATTACCCCTTGGGAAACGTGACTTTGTAAGATGGGAGATGATCATTCTTCCAACCGAGTAGGCGTTGATCAAGCCGGCGTAGAAAACGAACGGTACCAGATGATGGTGCAGAATAACGGGCTGAAGGTATAAGTAGGCAGGGATCAGGACCCAGGCGCCCGCAAATGTCAGTAGTCCAAGTAGGGCAACGCGTGTCTTTTGACCACGGGCGCGGCGCGCTTTCATGACGTTCAAGGCGCTTTAATACTGTCAGTTTGGTTCTTAGCGTCTGAAGAGCTACACTTGCCTTAGAACAGTGTTGAAAACCAGCACAAATCCTCCTTGAACCATGTACCATTCATTCCATGCCATGTTGTACAGAACATCTGGGATAAACTCAAATTGTTTGATGCCCAAAGTCGCAAGCATGGGACGTTGCCAGAAGCTACCACCACCGAGAAAGGCTGTCAAGGCGTACACAATGCACAGTATGATGATACCTTCGACTGGCCCTGAAATGATACCAAGCGTCAGGGTATGCGTGTGGTACTCATCCCAAGTCTGGACATAGAATGTCAATGATGCTGCGCTGGTCAGTAAATGAACTTCTATCCGCCAGGTCACACGTCACTAACAGGCAAAAAGTGTAAGGACTGTCTTCCATCCTTGGCCGAGGTTCATGACTGCAGAGAATAGTAGCACCTCCAATGTAGTGTTTATCGCATCAACTCCATGATCAAATAATTCACCAAGAGGACCGCTCTGGCGAGTTCTGCGGGCTTGGCTTCCATCGACAGCATCAAATGTCTGATACAGGAAAAGGCCAACAGCCCAGCTGAGGTATACCCATGGTGGGCAATCTTGATCTAGTGTTGGTGTGTACCATAGCATAGTAAGAAAGTTCATAATAATGAAGCTGAATCCAGTCAACGTGATCTATGTAGCCGTGTTAGTGCTCATCCAAATATTTGCGGTCAAGGCGGGGTTCAACTGGCTGCTTGTAGAGCGGATCAGGGTCCCAAAAACATCATACTTACAAGATTCGGCCTGGAAACGGTTAGCAATGAAGATGGTCGATACGTGACAGCACTTACGCCATCCACATGGGAAAACATTTGATGACGACATGGGTGTAGAAGGGCTTCAGCACATATTGCGAGAGAAGACTGTGATCCACACCAGAGTACTTGTACTCTTTGAGCTTGGGTAGCTTGTCCTGTCGAATATAAACCATTGCAAAGCGAGTTCTCCTGGACCAAGACGGTATTAGCAATTGTTGTCGTGTTGTCGCAGCGAGGAGAGTAAACTTTGCGTCAGTGTGTGCGTGGGAGAAGAGGCCCGAGCGTGGGGTTATATCGTATGACGTACCCCGCCGCTCTGGCCTGTTTTCCCTGCCACGCACACGCTTGCACTCGCGCGAACACGTGGGCAAAGACTGGACCATTGACAGACGCTGCTCCTCCGAATCTTGTTCCGAATTCAAGCCGGCCAGCATGGTGACTAAAGTATGTTTTCAATAAATACATTGTATCAAACCATAATATTGCAAAGTTATACCGAGCTACCACACCCCCTCAGTCCTGCGCTTCAGTGATACTTTGATCAGTCCATGCACCAAGCAGGCTTCTATCTTTTTGAAGCCCAGTGACGAGTGGTTTTTGGGCTGGGAGAGCAAGGATCTGGTTTCTGTGCGAGTATTGCATTCTCATCCCGTAAAACGTTAAGTTCGAGTCATGTTCGGCTTCCATTAGGTACAGCTCAAGCGACAGGACTCCAGGAGCAGGGAATAAGGATACTGCTCTTCATGGTTTGAATGAGTGGCACCGTCTTGTGCACCGTCTCGCCCCAACCTTCCACGCTCCAGCTCTGTTCACGACGAATCTTGCGTTCCTCGAGGTTGGCAAACTGCCATAGATGATGCACTGTGTTAAGGTCGCCAATCTGAACGAACCAAGCACCGACACCTTCCATGACCTCTCGTCGGGCCTTCAGCCCACGTCGCCAGTGTGTCTCCCACTCTAGCAAGTTGCCTGGGTGTAGTGTATACGAGCGTAGTTCAAAGATGCCACCAAGCTGGCGTGGTGGTGTAGTTGGCCAGAAAGAAAACTCTTGCATTAGAGAATTGCGCTTGCCGGAGATCAAATTCTTGAGCTTGGCATCGAAGGCGGGGAATTCGGGGTGCGACTGAATATTGTGTAACGACTCGTGGTATCCTTCGTAGCGCTGGTATTCCCAGATATGTACTGTGTAGTGTGGTCAGCAGAGTAGCGAGTCAAGCTATGGCGGAGACTGGAGAGCTTACCAAAGGTGTTGCAGTCGCCAACTTCAGTCCTCCAGCTACCTACCAGATGGACCTTGTTCTCGGGAATTGAGGCCATCTTGGGATACCAGCCGCCAACCAATTCGGTGTATTCTTCAACATTTTCCTGCTTGACCTCGTGGAAGACGATCGAGTGAACGTACTTGCCGCGGGCTAGGACCTGCGAGAAGCTGCGCTCAATGTCCTTGTCAAGTTCGCGACCTTCGGGTGTGCCGTAGATGAGGGACGATAGTGCACCGCCCTTCTTTTTGGCATTCTCATGCTCACGGGCGCGAGCTTCTTCTGCAATGGCTCATGTCAGTGTTCTTGAAGATTGGTTTGCTGCTGGGGGATTATGACGTACTCTCCTCCTGCTCCTTTCGCTTCTGGGCTGCTACTAGACCATCGCGGAACTTCTTTTGCTTCTCATTAAAACTCGCCGCACTGTCTGGCGTGATATCGGCAAGTGCCGGGGCTCGCGCAGGACTCTGCGCCGCAGTTGTAGCACCAAAAGCTCGCGTGCGGACAGTGGCAATTGGCTGTGGGATCAGCCTGCCACGCACGCTGGCACAAGCACGACGTGAGAGCATGGTGTTGAAGGTAGAGAAGGAGGCCAAGAGGGGAACCACCGGAGAAATCGTTGATGTCAGGAAGCGTGCGGGTGGTTGAAGGAGCGTGGGCGTACTTGGGACCCTGGGCGACTTAGAGCTTCCCCTCACCTACATATTACCCCCCAGCTCCCCCCGTCAACCCAGCTAGCGTGCCCGGGGCACTGGGGTAAGTACGCCCCACTACGTATGCATCGACGACACACGTCTCCACTTGATTCTTTCAGCCATCTACGTAATCCTCGTTTGGCAGCAGCGCACTTTTCATCACTTGGTCAATTGACACGCGCATATTAGTATTGGCCGTTGTGCCTGTTTGTATTCAAACCATGCCAGGCCCATCACCAAACACGAGCCTTCTTCTAGCCTAGCACTGGCTTCTCTTGTCACACTACGGATATCTACCAGCGTCCACCAATACCTCATATTCCTTATTGTTCAAATATAACTCGACACGAAGCGTCATATGCCCGTGTTACAGGACAGTCATACTGCCTCATGCTTACGGAATAAAGCCATTCACAGAGCAAAAGATCGCAGATCGCCGCCGAGAACCACTCTGTACAAGCAGTGTGACCTGCACAAATCAAACATCCCTCTTCGAAGAGATTTTTAACGCATTCAAGATTTCTAGTTCGTCTAGTCCTCGTCGAATATCTGAAGCACGTTGTCCAGGATGGTGATAATCACGCGGGCTTGTAGTCCAGCATCGGCCATGTTGTTGCCTTTATGGGGGCCCATGATTGAGGGCCTATACAGGATTAGCTGGCGCGGCAAGTACTCAGTACGTCTTTACTTACGCCCAACAAATGGCCAAGTTGGCAGTGCTCATGCGATTGATCTCTGAAGATTGCTGGACCCGGTGCAGATGCAAAGACAGAGCACGCAGCGTTGCGTAGTTCGGATCAGGCAGGGCGTTGATCAGAGCATGCATCGAGTCTCGGCGCATCGTATCATCGTCAATACGTGCAGCCTCAATGTACTTGCCATAGAATTCACGCGTGAGGAGCGGATCAGGAAGCTCGCGGAAGAACTGCTTCAACAGCCCTGCGACACTGTTGACGTCGTGCTGGAAGGACTCGGGATTGCGGAAATCAACCTGAGAAGCATCTGCCCTGCGTTAGTTGAATCACCGATATGTGTCATTTATGCAACATACCACTGTCGAACAGAGCCTTCATCTGCTGGATATGTGACGAGGTTCCCGGAATCCGATAAATACCCTCGACCTCCAAGCCATATAGATCGACAGCCTGAATGCATTGATATACTATTATCGGTACGGGAGAGCCATCTCGGTGGAACAGTTCTTCTAGAGTGATACCAAAGATGGGGTTGATGGGAGGTTGACCAGGGTGATATAGCACGCCACTAGTCTGTTGTGCCGTGGCTTGACCAACCGGGCCACGCGGATAGTCCGCTTGTGGGTAAGGGGCCTGAGACGTAGGTGAGTAAGGAGCGTTGGTTGGGTATGATGCTGGCTGAGGCGGCTGTGGTTGGTGGTGCTGCAGCTGCAACGAAGGAGGCGGCTGCTGCGAGTGTGTCCCGAATGAAGGCTGTTGCGAGGGCTCGGTATGCGAAGAGCTCTGCTGCAAGGGAGAAGTAGGATGGGGGTCTGGCTGCGGCGTCGAGAAGGTCGGTGGGGGTTGGCTCTGCAGCTGCATTGAAGGACGACCATTTCCAGCTGGCGGGGTTGGATGAGATCGTCCCTGGTTCTGGGTCGGATGCTTGATGTATTGAAGCTCCGCTCTGGAAAGAGGCGCTTTGGATCCCTGGCTCAAGATGAACTCCTCAAAGTCTCGCTCATTGTTAATCTGGTAAATGAGCTGGTTGATGCTGGGTGGGGGGTGAGCAGTGCTGCCCTTGAGCGGCTGGGGTGTGACGACTTGGCCATTGTTGACCACGAGTTTCTCGTTGAATGAGGCTAGCGCTGCGTCAGTTGGGTCTCAGTTTCAGAGGCAAGATACTTACCAAACTTCTGCATTTCCATGGTAAGGGCAGCATCTGTTTCCTTGATCAAGTCCAGTAGTGCAGAGACGGCTTGAGGCCGCGTAGTGGCTATGAGCTCCTTGCGTAAGGCCTGTGCCGTCTGCACCTTGCTGGCGTAGTCCTGATCCGCCGCCTGGGTCTTACGCTGAAGATCCTCTTCGTGCTGGGCTGCTGATTTGGGTCCTTTCAGACCGAACTTCCTACCCGCCCCTGTGTCGCCCGTTTTGACACGGTCGAGATCTTCGGCCAGCTGGTCGTATTTGGCCTTGGCCTTCTCAGCCAGCCGTTCAGCCTCCTGCACCTTATTCTCAGCAGACAGTCCCTGCTGCTTCCATGTCTTGCGGTTCCCATCCATCTTGTTGGCTAGCTGCAAGAGGTTCTCGTGCATGGCGTGCAGGGCGAGCCCAAACTGGGTGCCATTGTCGGCGATGCGCTCGTTGGCGTGGAGGACTTGCTCGAATTGAGTCTGATAGCTCTCATGTCGTGAATCGGGCTTGCGCACGCCGTCGAGTGTCCCCCGGCTGAGTTTCTTCAAGCTGCCCGCATGTTCTTCCTCAAGGGCGCCCCGGCGCTTCAGAAAGCTCGCAAAGTCCTACCACGTATGTGAGCGGGTTGGGCTGCATAGTCAAAGTTGGCGCCTACTGACCCTAGCACTTGAAATGCTGGCTTTCAGGCGATTCAGCAGGGTCGAGACGCCCACGTCTGAGTGTAGGATCTCATGGACCCGCTGTTGGTTATGCGCATCCTGGGGAGTACTCCGCTGTTCCGGCGTTGTGGGAGCGGCCTCGTGGATTGGGGATGCGAGGGCGCCGTCCTTTGCGGGGTCAGATGCGCTGTTGAAGTCCGGGTTGAAGGGTTCTGCCATGTCCACGGGCGCAAGTGTAGGTGGGGCGTTCATTGCGGGTTCAGATACCATGGTAGTTACATATATGCCAGCGGTCATCTTGGGGGACGCGCAACCTATCAGGCGGAGACATGGCACGGACTGTTCCAACGTCATCGTTTCCGCCGCCCGGTTCCTGTCGCATCCCACCCACCGAACACAGCCCGTGACCCAAGCATCACCCGCGTCGTGCCGCCATTCTCTGGATATTTTGCGGGACTACACCCCTTTCTCTCTCGTCTTGGGTAGTATTGCACTTCGTGTTAATGCCCAGCATGTCCAACAGCTTACCAGAAGAGGTCGTAACATGCCTCCAGAATGCCCGCTTTGTGAGTTATCCTCCCTGCCAGTAGTGTTGTCTTACATTTCCCTTATCGATCCTCCTCGGCAATCTCTTGTCATTACTATCCTGTCTCTGATTATTCCCATCTTCATATCATGTGTCCCAATGGATGTTGCTGCTCTTTGGTCTTGTGCAAGATTCTGACAGATACTACAGCTTCATCTTGCAACATGCTCGGAAAACATTCCTCATGTTTCCCTTATGAACTACACATATCTACCTAACACGCCTTACTCTTCAAGTCCAATCATCATCATGACAACACCTGCATCATCCCGCAAGACTCAGAACCTGGAATCGAACTCGCTTGTATCTCTATTGGTGCACGACTGGATATCCCATCGGCCACCCACTCTAAGTCAGCCAGGTCGCTCTCCTTCGCCAACCCGCCCAGCACCCCGGTCTGGATCACTAGCCGAGCTTCTTCTCGGCATGAACACAGCCTCATTGAGTCGAATCAGCACTACCATCAATGGCCTTGCTCAGATGGTTCCCTCTGGGTCGGAAGAAGAGACATGGTACAAGGCTCAACACGTTGCAAACAACACTTTTAGCGATGGTACAGAGGATATCTATTCGACTTCGCCAGGCGGGGAGGGCCTGTGGGGTAGTAGCGGGCTAGGCAACGGAGCTGCAAGTGGAGACGCGCCAAGAGAGGGTAACGCAGGGGCCCGATGCTATCTGGACGGAGAAGAAGTCAGGGTTGTCATTGTAAAGATCCGCGACGGAAGAATTGCAGATTGGAAAGGCCAAGTGCGAGATTGGAGATTGTCAGAAGGCATCCAAGGTGCTCTACCCAATGGAACGGCAGATTGAGTCCCTTATTTCATACTAGGCGAGCGGATTTATATGTTATGTATTCAAAAGCTAAGTTATCGTTTGTACGAAAGAAGCTGGACACTGGCACTAAATACCCTTGTGGGACATGCATATGCAAAGTCCCTGAAAAATGTAGTTCCTTCACCCTGTACATCCAAAAGTATAGCAGATCGACAGAGTCCGATTCTTCTTACATTCACAAAATCAGACAGATCGAACTTTCACGACCAATGCCATGTTTCCTCGGAGCCCATGTGCGTTTGACAAATAGGGTGGCGAAATGCCCTGTAGTCTCGCTACAGATGTCTCTTATGCAAGGGGGTACCTTCCTGAACCACTGTGGTTTGTGGCACGCATAGCGCCAAATCACATCCATTTGTCTCAGTCCTCATCCGTGTGTGGCGTCAGGCTATTTCCTTTGTCTCATATATCAAGTCGCGGTCAAAAAGCCAAACGACTTTCAGTCTTACAGCCCCTTGTCATTGCTCTTCTCTTCCCAACAATGCAGCAATGCACGTTTCATTCTAAGTGATTCCTAGTTAGGAGCACTAGAATCTTTCAAAACCGCCCTTTATGCAAGTAAAGGTGAGTTGACGTCTGTCTTGCCTGTTTATTCCTAGCACTACCTAACTTTACCTTACGCTGACCCAGCCACCCCTGTGACTCCAGCATCAATGGCACTTCACACATCAGGCACCACAGTCTACCGTCCATCTGACCTTCAACTGCGCCCCCTTACAGACTGCTGCCTCAGACGGCAAACCGCAGGTGAATGACGTAACTTCTCCTTGCGACTCACGACTCAAGAAATCTCGACTTCCTTGAGTATTAGTGAGGTAAGTAAAGGCGAGTTTCGACGGTGAGCGATGAATTGCGCGCTGACTGTTTGCTATCACCAGGCCTGGGCACCCTTTTTTTCTGTGACTGCCTGCTGAAGCTTGGCGGTACCTAGTGACGCACCTGAGCAATTTCTCTTATCAAAACTTCACTTTTTTGTTTCTGAGATTACGACCCTACCCTTTTTCAGAATTTTAAAGCTGGTTCTTGTTCTAAGTCTTGATAAAGGCTTTTGATTAACTCTCTCACATTACGCAAAAACCAACTTCTAGACAATGGATTCTACAAACAGCATCTCACTCGCCGAGGCAGTCAAAATTGCAGAAGCACGTTTTAAAGCTGCTGTTCAAGGCTGCAAGGATGATTGGCACAACGGCAATGATCTGGTTATTCTCCAAGACAATATTCCACAGCTCTTTGGGGGTATCCTAATAGAACACTTCAAACACTGTGTGGGTGAAGTTTCTGGATTTCCTGTCGAACTCACTGTCATGGATAGCGGCAACAGCAACTACCACACTCTAGTACAGATGCCGAAGAATAACATGCGCCTATCTCAAGTTGCATCAAGCCCCAAATCAGCGAAGACATCGCCTTCTGAGCAAGCCTCAATTAACCTAAGAGCGGTTGCTGCTGGCCTAAAAAAGGCCCCACGCCCAATGAACTGTTGGATCATTTTTCGAGATGCAATGCACAAGCATCTAAAGGCCGAATTCCCACACCTCACTATTCAAGAGATCTGTAAGCACATAGCCCCCTCCGTCCTTCAGACAAACATACACTGACCAAGTCCTAGCTACTCAATGCTCTCAAATTTGGCACAACCTCTCTCCTGAAGCTAAAAGGCCCTGGCAGGATGCCGCCCAGTCTGCAAAAGAAGAACACCTCCGCCAGCACCCCAACTACAAGTACACTCCAAGGAAGCCTGGCGAGAAGAAGAAACGTCAATCACGCAAGTCGAAGCGAGCTGCAGCGACGACTACGGCTCCAGAAGTGCTCCAGTTCCAGCTGTCCCCCAACTTGATCCCGACGGTACCTGAGGTTACGGACCAGCCACCGCTTACTGCAAACCCTGTTGCTGCTACCGGAGATAGCCCCTGCCCTGAAGATGTCTTAAACTACTTCGATCCCAATATCTTCCCAGAGATATATCCGCAGGCTCCTATGGCTGCCGACTTTTTCTACAATGCTGAGTCAATCCGCCATGGTCTACTCGATGCGGAGTTCGACATCGACTTCAACATGGATACTACCTTCGCCTTGTTCGATGATGAGATGCTCGCCTTTCGCGATGGCGCAGATGGAGATGCAACTTTGCCGTCCTTATTTCAAGACACCTACTGAAGGCGCTTTGTATGCCTACACTCCGTTCTTGTAAATCATGCACCGGGAGTACATCCACCAGTCCTTTATTGCTTACTTTGAAGCACACCTAAACCTCACCAACGTTACTCATTTTGCTTTTGTACTTTTCGCGCTTCTTCGGCATTCGAAATCCTGAATGGAAGCTCAGCATCTTCGCGCATCTCAGACCGCGCATAATCTCGGGGTTTTTTTCACATCCACACGAGGGGGTCATGCATAGAGGAGTTTACATGTACCAAAAGGAAGAGCTGCGACGGTAGCCCTCATTGCTATACTTTCTTGCTTTCAATCTTAGGCATTTTTAGATGATGGAATTCATTTCATGGCGTACTTAGTGGAATAGCATATATCGACATGGCTGCAGTCTCTATTCTGCAAAATATCTATCGGGTGAGAGCACCGACATGGACTGTACGGATGGCATGAGCGGGCTCACTATAGTGTAATCCAGTTCCATCCAAACAAATGACGATTTTCAAATAACAGTGTACCCTTGTGCGTTTTGACATATGTGAAGGCATTCAATGATATTCCCTTGGCCTCTCTAGTCAGTTGTAGTATTTGCGCCATTGGTCGTCATTGTGTATGCTGTACCGCGAGAGGCGAAGATCGACGTGGTACTCGATGCTCACGTGGCAGCAGATGCGAACATGGTTGAAGTCCGTCGCACCTGCCAATTCAGCTCCACATTATTGAGATATGTACAGGGGTACCGAACTCAGACTGGGGTATCAATATCTAGGCTTGGCTTGCTTGTCATGCCCACCGTTGTGACTACCGATTATCCGTAGCTATCTTCCTTTCCGTTGCTCTGCCAGACTAAGCTACTTGCCAATGGATGCATTTTATGCAAATGAAATAAAAAGCCATTGCGCATGTAGAAAATATGCCAAGGAGATATACATAGAAACATATTCTCGCAACTTCTGAAGAAGCCCCAGTCGCATCTCTGTAGCATGAACAGACGTCACGGTGAATAGGCGAGTAAATCTCCCCATCCTATCTCATGACAGCCACAACCCCCCCAGTATCCTCGGTTCCTGCTTCCGCAGCAAGGTACTGCATCCCCACTGCCGTGTAACCACCCACACACCAGATAGCCCACGCCCACCTACTATATACACCCAACTCGGCGCCAGCAACCAGGTTAGCGCACCCACTACTAAGCCCTCTTTCGATACTCCCTCACCCAAAACAACCACGTACCCTTCCCCACGCATAATATACGACTCATTGAAAAATGCAAAAAAATAGTCATGCGCATCGTAATACTCGCCCGACGCACACTACACACAGTACATAAGTACCGGACCAAGCGTACAAATCAGGCGTGGCGGGTAAGATCGATTCTTCACATGAAAGCTAGCAGCTACTACTTCGTTTATCTCGGGGGCTAAAGTGAACCAAGTTTGGTGACTGGTGCCTGTACATCACTATTGATACACGCATCCCTACCCTGGTTGACATATGTCACGTTACGGCTGTTTTCTTACTCATGGGCACCGTGTGTAGTATGGTTGCTTGAACCCCGCAAATTGCCCTTTGCCGATCGATAGGTCGGGCAATACGGATTGCTAGGCTTCCCGGTCCGGGCTCGGCGCATGTACGTAGTGTGCGTACTTACTAGATGCAAATGCAAGTGACTGGGCGGAAGCACTGCAGCTGGAAGAGTACTTACGGGGCTGGCAGGTATATGTATATGTGTGTAGAGTATGGGAGCCTGCCGTGGCGCCGCGGCGGGGCGGTGGAAAAGTATCGATCCACCAAACAGTGTTCGATGTGTCGAGCTGCGTGGATTGAATATTGCAGTCGGGGCCAAAGGCAAGGGACCTGGCGATGCTGTGTCGTGCGATCAATGATCGCAAAACTCGTGGTCGTACGCGATGATCCCGTTTGATCCGAGCCCGAGAGTTTACGTACCTTTTCAGCTCAGGAGACCCTTCTCTTCTTCAGCTATACTATCTTCAAACCGCGTACCATACGCCCGCACCTACAAACTCTATCTACATAGCTCCGACGACAAATATCTAACTCATGACACCTCATTCGCTGCAACGCCCACTCCCACCCAAAATTTTGCTTTTTCTTTTGCTTTCCTACCCAGAGATCGTAGATGAATGGCAACCCACCCCGTTTTCGTAACCCCTGTACCTGCGTCCCGTTGAAAAACAAGCCGATCATTATCCGGACGGGCAACCCGTTGCAGCAGCGCCCCCCAATCTCGGGGCTCCTCCCACCCCAGTCGCGCAAACGCAGATAATAATCCTGCCTTCGGGCATATGTCTACAAACGCTCTGCCCGGCGTCAGCTGGGATGTGGTTCGTCCATCACCATTTCCCTATGTGCTAATTACTTTACTTGTTAGCGCGATGGGCTTTCTGTTTTGGGGAATAATGGTAGGGGGGTGGTGGTCACACAGGTAATGGTGGGTTTTTGCGGGGTTTGCGTCATGGGTAAGGGGAAAGAGAGAGGGAGAGAGGGAGGACTATGTATATGGGTGGCTTTCGCACCCTTGGTTTGAATTGTTTTGGAGGGATTCCAGTGAACAATTTGAGTTGAAGGGATAAGTACCTTCTTTTTGTCACCACCAGACGTCGGTCTTGGAATCATGGCTTCCCTTCTCTTCTTGTCTCTCTCCGGACTCGCGGCTGGCGCTGCTATCCAGCAGCGTGACCCTGTGCCTGCAGGTTATGTTGCGCCGCCATACTATCCTGGTATGTGTGCGAATACGATTCCCAATCTGCTTGTTGTTTTGTGATACATGCTAACATTCTGCCAAAAGCTCCCCATGGAGGATGGGTGTCGGACTGGGCCGAGAGCTACCGAAAGGCTTCTCTCCTCGTTTCCAATATGACGCTTGCTGAGAAGACTAATCTCACAGCTGGAACGGGAATCTTCATGGGCCGCTGTGTGGGAAATACTGGTAGTGCTTTGAGAGTAGGCATTCCGCAGCTTTGCTTGCAAGATGGTCCGTTGGGTGTGAGAAACACCGACCACAACACTGCTTTCCCGGCAGGCATCACCGCTGGAGCAACGTGGGACAAGGATCTCATTTACCGACGTGCAGTCGCTATTGGAGAGGAGTTCCGCGGAAAGGGAGTCAACATCCATTTGGGACCAAGTGTAGGACCTCTTGGACGCAAGCCGCGAGGTGGCAGAAGTATGTATCTGGAAGAATACGTCTCTGAGAGGCAGATTACTTATAACTGTTACAGATTGGGAGGGTTTTGGCTCCGACCCGGTTCTCCAGGCATTTGGAGGTGCTCTGTCTGTAGAAGGTATTCAGAGCACTGGCGTCATTGCTACCATCAAGCATTTGATTGCGAACGAGCAGGAAATGTACCGTATGTGGAATCTTGTCAAGCCAGGCATCTCGTCAAATGTCGATGACCGCACGCTTCACGAGCTCTACCTTTGGCCATTCGCAGAAGGTAAGTTAAACTGTTTCCTTGAAAATGATCAGTATGCATGTATGTTTTTACACTACGGCAACGGATGAACGACTGCAAGATTTGCCAAGTTGAAGCTAATGTCAATGCAGGCGTACGTTCCGGCGTCGGCTCAGTCATGATTGCTTATAATGCTGTCAACGGAAGCGCATGCGCACAAAACAGCTACATGACCAACGGTCTCCTGAAGGATGAGCTCGGCTTCCAGGGTTTCGTCATGTCTGACTGGCTATCCCAAATCTCCGGTGTCAGCTCAACCCTCGCTGGTCTGGACATGTCCATGCCTGGCGATCGAAATGACATCCCTCTTGTCCTCGGAAACTCCTACTGGATGTACGAACAGACCCGTTCGGTGCTGAACGGCTCTGTCCCAGTGGACCGCGTCAACGATGCCGTGACACGCATCTTGGCCACATACTTCCAGATGGGCCAGGACCAAAACTACCCAAGGCCCAACTTTGACACCAACACTCAGAATGCCGAGGGCCCGCTCTACCCTGGTGCACTCATCTCGCCTTCAGGTGTAGTAAACGAGTTCGTGAATGTCCAGGGCAATCACGCCGAGGTTGCTCGTGAGGTTGCTCGAGATGCCATTACCTTGTTGAAGAACCAAGACAACATTCTTCCTCTGGCCGCGAGTGCCCCGCTCAAGATCTTCGGAACAGACGCCGAGAAGAACCCAGACGGCATCAACTCGTGCGCTGACCAGGGTTGCAACAAAGGTACCTTGGGAATGGGCTGGGGAAGTGGCAGCGCTCGCTACCCATACATGGACTCGCCCATTGATGGCTTCAAGGCTCGCGGTGCAAACTACCAATTCTTCAACACGGATAACTTCCCGGGTAACTCGAACCCGTCTCCAAACGACACTGCCGTTGTCTTTGTAACTGCCGACTCGGGAGAAAACTACATCACGGTTGAGGGCAACCCAGGAGACCGAACTTCTGCAAACCTGAACCTGTGGCACAATGGTGACAAACTGATCAAGGATGTTGCTGCCAAGTACTCGAATGTCGTCGTTGTCGTGCACACTGTTGGAGTTATCCTTATGAACGAATGGCATGACCTTCCTTCTGTCAAGGCAATCGTATTCGCTCATTTGCCCGGACAAGAAGCAGGAAACTCTCTGATGCAGGTGCTGTACGGCGATGTCTCTCCATCTGGTCACCTGCCTTACACCCTGCCCAATGCTGAGGACGACTTTGGCAACTCTGTGAAGCTTGTTGGATACCAACTGGGTCAGCCTCAAGACACGTTTACAGAGGGCCTGTACATTGACTACCGTCACTTCCACAAGGCCAACATCACACCCCGCTATGCCTTTGGCCACGGACTCAGCTACACGACCTTCTCCTTTTCCGACGCCACAATCACCCCTGTGACGCCACTCACCAAAACGCCACCAGCACGGCCAGCAAAGGGCCAAACACCGTCGTACTCGACCGCGATTCCACCTGCTTCTGAAGCATACTGGCCTGCAAACTTCAACCGCATCTGGCGCTACTTGTATTCGTGGCTTGAAAAGAATGATGCCGACGCTGCTGCGCAGGTGGGAGCTTCTCCTTCGACATACCCCTATCCTGCGGGATATTCCAACGAGCAAAAGCCCGGGCCTGCAGCAGGTGGCGCACAAGGTGGCAACCCCGCGCTCTTTGATGTGGCATACGACGTTTCTGTAACGGTAACCAACACTGGCAGCCGTAGTGGCAAGGCTGTCGCACAGCTCTACTTGCAGTTCCCCAACGAGAGCACGGTCGACACGCCCATCCTCCAGCTGCGAGACTTTGCAAAGACGTCTACGCTTGCGGCTGGAGCTACCCAGACGTTGAAGATGCGACTGACAAGGAAGGACCTTAGCGTGTGGGATGTCGTTGAGCAGAATTGGGTTGTCCCTGCTGTGGGTGGTGACTATGGGGTTTGGATTGGTGGGTCTTCGGATGACTTGCATCTGAGGTGCGGTACGGCTACGGGACGTTGCCAGGGAGATCAGACGAGCCCTGTTTGAGGGGTTCTCTTTGCTCTAACGACATGAGCGAGGCCTTTCCTATAACGAATGACTTTATTAGTTAATAGTTAATAACATTACCAATATTGAATGAGTTCTGTTCCGGTCCGATATTTCACAAAGTTCTGAGCATATCTCGTGTTGGGCAATTCCAGTCCAAAAGGTTACGGCTGTTTGTCACATGCAGAACGGGATAACGTCGACAGCCCAGCATCTTGAAAGGAGAATTCCCGTTTTAATTATCCAATGGCGAACCTAAAGTCAAGCTGTTTTCTGCCTTGCTGAAGAAACAAAACATTTCCACGAAGCTTTTAGCAATTGTGAAAGACTCGACACATGTCATACGCAATGACCATAGGACAAAAAGCTATCCAAGAGATCAGGGGGCTCACGTGAGGCAATGAACATACCGGCGGCGGATGCTCTTGATTGGCCGGGCCCAAGGAGATTGCGAGGGATTCATGCGCAGAAGCGACGTGATTGGCCTGACTCGAGCATCTTTATCCCTGACTGTCGCGTGGGAGTTTACTACGTATATGCATACTAGTACAATAGTCGTCCCTTGTGTCCATGTAAGGCTGGAACATGACGAGGAGAGCTATTAATACACGTCATGCGTCGAGTGCTCCAGAAAGATGCTACCGTGTTTGCACGAGACTGGTGCGTGGTTTGAGGAGGGGCGCCAGTCGAGTTGCATGTGCATGGCCAACGAAGCTTTGCAGGGGAGTCTGAGAAAGGGATTATGGTGAGGTAATTTCAGGGTGAATTGGGCGTGCCGAGGGGTCTAATGGTTAGATGACAGTGAGTGTGAGTATGTATGTGCATCGGGCGTTTTGTGCTATGAAGCCCGTGGCGAGGGCCAGAGCGAGGCCAGACGTCACAGGCGCTAGGCCCGTTTAGGAGCTGGTGCAGTCGTTATGGTTACTCCGGACAGCACCTTGGACTCCTTGCTGTACCAGCTTCCCCAGGGGTTCATCCACCATCACTGCACTGCTCGTCTGTTCAAAACAAAATCCCGTTACTTGAATCATCAATTGAAACCCTCTGCTGTCGGTTGTAAGCGTTGCGTTCTTGTGGGACGCTCCACGCATCCCTGCCACCAAGTCGTCACTGCTTGTACATAAACAAATTGCCCGGGTTTCAGGCGCGGACCACCGACTTCTCACACGTATCCCATATTACTTACATTACGGCGACTGCGCTCCTCGACACCACACAGTCGATTGCAAATTGACGACTGCTTCGTCGCCTCTCAGCATGTCCAACGGCGTGCGCAATCTGCGCGCCATGTTCGAAAACTCCAACGCCGCTGCCTCACCCGAGCCCCGCGGTCGCTCCCCAGTAGACCATTCCGCCCCAGGAGACAACGACGACCGCCCCAGGTCAAAGGTGCGCGCCTCCTTTGTCCCTGTCGAGCCTTCACTTCCTCCTACGAGCGCCTACACGCCCACCGATCTCGGCCAGACAAAGGGCACCCCGTCCAACAGCACCGTTGCACACCGCCGCGAGAGCTTCAGCATCAGCGAGGACAGGCCCGAAGAGCTCGCTGATCTCAAGAAGATTGTCGGCGACGAGAAGGAAGAGCGCGCCAAGAGCCTGGCTATCCCCGAGGCTGTTCCCGAGCAGGCCGTCGCATCACGAGAATCCTCGCTATCGGCTCCTCTTGACCGAAAGGCAGAAGAAAAAGAAGAAACTACCGACATGCCTAAGGTCTCCGACCTCGCAGAAGCTTCTGAGCTCCAGGCTGAGCAGACACCAACCCAACCCGAAGAAAACGCCGTCGACGACGCCGAAATCTCCCCAATGCCATCTCCACAACAGATTCCCACTCAGCCTGCTGAAAATCCGGACAAGCCTACTACGGGTGCCCAGGAAGATCTCGCGCTGAGACCGGCAGCCCCCACGGATGAAGCTGCTGTGGAACACGACACACCTGCCCAAGATGAAGCTGTCGTTGAGGAAAGCATTCCTGCCGCGGAGGAAGCTGTCATTGAGGAGGCCGCCGTCAAAGAGGAGGCGGCTGTTGCAGAAGCTGCTATCGCAGAGGAGAAGGCTGCAATTGCTGAGGAGCCTGCCATTGCCAAAGAAGAGCCCCAAGCCGACGCTCAGCCCGCTGAAACCTCAGACAAGACTGAGACTGCATCTTCCACGGATGTGCCCACTATCACCGAGGAGGCGGCTCCTGTGTCTGAAGAGGCTCCAGCAGCGGAGACTTCCAAGCCTGCTGACAGCAAGACAAAGACCAATGGAACTCCTGCAGCTAAGAAGCTAGAGGTCAAGAAGCCCTCGGCAATCTCTACTGCTAAGGCCTCCAAGGCCCTACCGGCATCCGCAAAGAGCCCTCTCCCAAAGAGTCCTCTCCCAAAGGCAGCACCAAAAACTCCCCCGAAGACCAAGTCGGCCACACCAGCGCCCAAGCCCAGTCCAGCGCCCAAGGTGTCCAAGCCGACAGCCCCTAAGGAGGCCGGTAAGGCCCCTGTTGCAAAGGCTCCTGCTGCAAAGGCCCCGGCTGCTAAGGTCCCTACTACCAAGACAAGCCGCTCTTCCCTACGCCCAGCGGCATCTTCAGCTACTGCACCTACTGCCAGCGCGGCGTCCAAGGCCAAGCCAGCATCATCATCTACAGAGACCAAGAAGCCTGTCGCTTCCAAGCCCGCCCCTCCTGCTCTCCGTAAAAGGTACGTGCAATTGCAGTTTACACAGTCCATAGCTCTGATATGAATCTAGCGTCTCACCAACCGGCTTCAAGAAGCCAGCTCCCAAGTCGCCCACACGCCCCGTCGGCTTGCCTTCACGTTTGACCGCACCTACTGCGGCCTCAGCTGCGAAGCATGGCGAAGAACCCAAGGTTGCAAAAAAACCTGCCACTACCACACGCGCTCCACCCAAGCCCGCTGCCGCCACCACCAAGGCGCCACGACCTTCAGTTGGACCCAGTGCACCAAAGCGACCGGAGTCCCGCACCTCGACCACAAGCACCGCACCCAAGGGCGGTTTCCTTGAGCGTATGATGCGCCCAACAGCGGCCAGCTCCAGCAAGACTCATGAGAAGCCTGCTTCTCCACCACACAAGGCCCCCGCCGCCTCAAAGCCTAGCACCCTACAAAAAGGAAAGAAGAAGGCGGAGGAAGTTGCTTCCAAGGTTGAAGATGTCGCATCCAAGGCCAAGGCAGCTGTCACCAACGGTCATGGCGATGAGGAGCACAAAGAGGAGCACAAGGAGGAGCACAAGGCGGAGGAAGAAGAAGCCCCAAAGGAGTCGGAGCCTACTGAACAGGTAGCTGAAGAAGCTCCCGCTGATGAGGCGTCGCACGAGCCGGCAAAGGCACCTAGTCCAGTGCCAGAGGTGGAAGCTCTAACCGCAGAGCTGGATACCCCAAAGCCGGAAGGCGAGGCAGTACGGTAGATGAGAGTGAGTGGGCCTCTTGTCATGGGGTAGGTTTGACGACAGGGTTTCGCATTCCTGTAATGTCTACATAACAAATTCGCGAAGTTGGTAGGCTGTTGGTAAAACTCTTGTTCAATGGCGCTATGTTGGTTTGCTTTTATACCTTCACTTCTCCAATAGCATTTTCTGGAGCGATTGTTTGGCGCAAATCATAGTCTTGGGGGATACCTTGGGATATGGGTGGGGTGAGGGAAGGATGGAATTGGATACAGATCATTGCGTATATAGTTGCCTTTTAAAGCTATGGGTCTCGCATACGTTGCTAGACATTTCTTGTATATCGTAATCCATTCTTCACTCGGAACTTGATCTTGTCACAACCCCTGGCTGTTCGGGACCCAGCACGCGCTCAGCCGGATGCTTTGCTGAACGCGTTGGCACGTGACATTGTACGACAGTCCTTTCGGAGCTTGATGGTGACAAATCGAGGCTCTTGCCTGTTGCGAGACACAGACTCGAAACGTGTCTCTTTATCCCAGCTACACACACCATCTCCTTGTTCTTTTGCTTTTGTTCGAATATGGTTCAAGGCATCACATCATCGAGCAGATCATGCCTTTGTCAAGTTGGTGCTCCGAGTCAGGGGAGTCCGCAAGGCCATGCTTACCAACTGTCCGCAGGATCATCTTGGGCGCCGTTGTCTTTCTGCTTACAGGGCAAGTGAGCGTTATGGGCCGTTGTATCAACAGGGTGAGACGCTGCCCAGGCTAGGGCAATGAGGGGAAGTTCGGAAAAGGGATGGTCCATGGCTTGCACGACGGATTGATTGCCAGGGCGTCCCCGACCGACTTGCCTCGGCTGCTTCTCAGCTCCACTATTCAGCTGGGGTCAAACGTCACTAGCCGACGATGAAGGGCATGATGCGTCCTGCGATTGAATCGTACTTCTCGCTGGCGAGCCCCTTCTTCACGACACCCGATATCGCTATATCGAGCCTCGGTGTTTTTGCTACTGTCTTCTTTTTGCCTACTGACCGCTAATCATGTCAGGTAAGCGCGATCTAACTTCGCACATCACCCTGCATCCCTAACCTCCTACTAATCAGCTTTGTTATCGCAGCTCTTCCGCTCGCGCTTCCCGCAGCCGCGGCTGGCCTCGCATACCTCAACGGTCGCCATGGCTTCACCCACGACTTGACGCTGCTATCTGCCCTTGTACGCAGCTCCATCGATAGCGCAGTCCGCCAACGACGCGACACTTGGAACCTCTTCTACGAACTTGAATCACATGCTAAATCGTCACGAGCAAACCAGACTTGGATCATCTTCCAGGGAAAGTCGTGGACGTATGCGCAGGCGTATGATGTTGTTCTCCGCTATGGAGTATGGCTGAAGAGCAAGGGCGTGGAAAAGGGCGATATTGTCGCCGTGGACTTTATAAACTCGGACGTCTTCATATGGGTGTGGTTTGGCCTCTGGAGCATTGGCGCAAGCCCGGCCTTTATCAACTACAATCTCACAGGCAAGCCGCTTGTACACACAATTAAGACGAGTACGGCCAAGTTGGTGCTTGTGGATCAAGAAGTCAAGGCCAACTTCAACGAGGATGCACTGAGGGACCAGGGCCTCACTCGGACGGATAACACTGACAAGCTCGAGTACATGTTTGAACTTGAGTCTGACGTCCCGCCATCCACCGAGAAGCAGGCTCAACGACAGGTTGAAATCATCTTCTTTGACGATGCATTGACATCTCATATTCTCACACAACCGCCAACGCGCTTCCCTGATTCAGTTCGCTCAGTCGAGGAACGCACAAGCATGGCCATGCTCATCTACACATCTGGCACAACAGGTCTCCCTAAGCCTGCCTTGATGTCATGGGGCCGATGTGTTAATGCTTCCAAGGCTGGGTCAGTTTGGGTGGGACTCAACAACGATGTCCTGTACACATCTATGCCACTATACCACAGCTCAGCTTCAATCCTAGGTCTATGCGCCACCCTCCGCGCCGGAACCACCATCTGCTTATCGAGGAAGTTTTCTCACAAGACATTTTGGCCCGAAGTCCGTTCTTCCAATGCCACCATCATCCAATATGTCGGCGAAACATGCCGATACCTCCTCTCTGCTCCTCCATCGCCCCTGGACAAACAGCACAAGCTTCGCGCAGCGTTTGGTAATGGCATGCGCCCTGACGTCTGGGAAGCTTTCAAAGAGCGCTTTGGCATAGAGACCATCTACGAATTCTACGCCGCAACAGAAGCGCCCAGTGGGCTCTTCAACCTCTCGACAAACTCCTTTTCCAGCGGTGCGATTGCACGTAACGGTACACTAGTTAACGCGCTTCTGGGACAGAAGCTTTGCCTCGTACGCCTGGATCCCGAGTCTGACCCGCCAGAGCCCATCCGCGACCCCAAAACAGGCCTATGTAAAATCTGCGACTCTAACGAACCGGGTGAAATGCTCAGCAAACTCGATGCCACAGACATCAACAAGGCCTTTCAAGGCTACTACGGCAACTCAAAAGCAACAAACAGCAAAATCATCCGCGACGTCAAGAAGAAAGGAGACGCATACTTCCGCACCGGCGATCTTATGCGCTGGGACGCCGAAGGCCGCTTCTGGTTTGTCGACCGCATCGGCGATACATTCCGCTGGAAAGCAGAAAACGTCTCTACAGCCGAAGTCAGTGAAGTCCTCGGTAGACACCCCGCTGTTGCCGAAGCAAACGTCTACGGCGTCCAGGTCCCGCGCCACGACGGCCGCGCAGGATGTGCCGCAGTCGTGTTCAAAGATCAGTCTACCTCTCCTTCCGACGCTGTCCTGACGTCTCTGGCCCAACATGTGAAGAGTCAGTTGCCGGCTTTTGCGGCCCCGATTTGGATTCGCGTTACGAAGGAGATGCAGCTTACAGGTACGAATAAGCAGCAGAAGCATTTGTTGCAGAAGGAAGGAATTGATCCTGAGGTTGTGGAGGGGCAAGGTGATGTCTTGTATTGGCTCAGGGATGGTGCTTATGTTCGCTTTACGAAGGATGATCTCAAGAGGATTGAGGGTGGAGGTGTTAAGCTTTGATGTTCTTTTGTCATAACCGTTTTATTTCTTGACATATAGGAGTAAATGGCACGATACCATTTGTTGGAATCTTCTATTGTTGTTTTGATCTTGTTCGAAGAAGATGGTTGGTACTTGGTGAAGCTGACGAGTTATGGCCATTTTTCTTTTCAAGGCACTAATCTACACTACCTTTGCCTTTCGCGTCTTCCTAGGTTTCTTCTTCGTAGGCTCCTCGTATAATTCATCTTCGTCATCTTCATCATCTCCAGCATCCTCGCCTATACCTTGATCTTCATTCTCCGCCAACTCCACAGCCTTACTCGTCCCAACCTTCCTCTTCTTCGTCCCACCATCCATACCTCCATCCTGTTCCCCACCTTCCTCACTACCCTCCCCCTCACTTCCCCCCCTCGCCCCCTCCCTCTCCGCCAACCTCGTCAATGCAGCCCCCAACCTCTTCCCCGCAGCACCCTTCCCCTTCCTCTTCCCACTCGGCCCACCCGCCTCCGCCCCCCTAACCCTCGGTGCAAACGCCCCCGCCCCAACACTCCCCTCAAAAAACCTCGTAATATTCGCTTGTGTCCCCTCCTTCTCCCTACGATTCATATCGCGGATAACAGGCACAAGCACCTCGTCCGTGCGCTCGGTGCTCCATCCAATCTGCGAACTGAGGTACGCGCGCAGAGCAGCGAGATCGGGGACGCCCCATTGGAAGGGCTCGGGGCTGGAGTCGACTTCTGGGTTGAGATATGCGTCTGCTACCCTTGGGTCTGGAAAAGAAGCAGGTAGGAAAAGCTTAGTAGCTTGATTTTTACGGAAGCGTCGTCGAAACGACGATTGGGCGTCGTCGGATTTTTTGATAGACCCGTTTTGTACGCCGTCCCACCACTTTCTGAACGCGGTCAGATCTTGAAACTCAGAGAGGATTTCTAGTGCGGTCACGGGCCCGATGCCCGGTATGCCTTCTGTGTAGTCGGAACCCAGGAGTTGGGCGATGTCGATTAGTTTTTGGCGGGTGAGGCTGAATTCAGAGGTTAGGTCGGAGGAGAGGTAGCATTCGACGAATTTGGCGGCGTTGAACATGTTTTTATAGACGCGGGTGCCGCCGAAGAGGAACGTGTCCGAGTCGTCGGTTACGATGCCGTCGACGAGGCCTAGGTTAACAAGTTCGGCGCATTGGGCTTCGGCTTCCATGGGCGCGGTGATGTATGGGAGGCCGAATAGGGCGAGGAGCTGTTGGCACTCGGAAATCATTGTTTGTGTGACTTCGTCGGCGTCTCGACGGTCTTTTTTCTGCTGAGCACGTAGTTGCTTGAGTTCTTCGTCAAAGTCTACCCGTGCGGCGGTGTTGTTGCTTAGTTCCTGGGCAAACCGGGCATGCTCTTCTGCCTCTTTGGCGAGAGATGCAAATAGCTCTTCATCTTCTGGATCAGAGTATTGGTCAGAATCATTACCTTCTGCAATATCCATAGGAATACTGTCGTCAGCAACGCCACTGTATGGGACAATTGGCTTGGTAAGGTCTTCTGGACCCTGTAATGGCGAAAACTCTCTTTGGGGTTGACGCGGCTTTTCCTGTCTAATCGGGACGTCCTCAAATTCAGGCGATGGGGACTTTGACTGCTCGGGCGCTGAATTAGTTTCACCTTGCAAAGGTACATCCTCGAATTCAGGAGACGGTGATTTAACAGATGTATGTTCAGAAGCCAGATCCGTCTGCATTGGTACATCTTCAAATTCGTCAGATGGAGTTTCAGAAGCTTGCCGTGCCTCTGACTTTGGCTCCACATCGCTTGTTACTTTCTGTCGCGCGTGCTTTTCGTCTTCCGGCTCACTCTCCGACCAGTCCACTGGCTGTTCATCAGAATCCTCGGCGAATGGAATCTTCTTCAGCAAGGCAGGATCTTGAGGAGGTGGCGATGGCTGATGAGAGAAAAGCGGTTTTGGTGGCTCTGCTCTAACTTTGTCGGCCAGATCACCCATCTTCAACTCAGTTTCTCTAGTTTGTACATCCTCCATCTGGGCATCAGCATCTTCATCTGAGTCGATCGCTATCACTTGCTTCTGGCTTTGACTCGCGGGTGCATCTAGGTCAATGACTTCCTTTGTATCTTGCTTGCGCAAACTCGGGAGTTCTTGGAACTGGAACCTGTTCTTTTCTTCTTGACGAGCTTCCTCCCATAACAACTTCTCTTCTTGTCGTTGAGAGTTGACTTCTGAAGCAATATCCCGTGACGCGTTGAACCAAGGCGGAAGTGGTGCTGCGGTCTTTTTTTCCTCTGCGTAGTTTTTCTCGAAGCCTCCAGCATTCTCAGCCTCCAACTTTTCCATCTTTTTCTTGCCAAGCAGGGAGTTACCCAAATTGAGTCTCTCAAACGGAAGAGGCCCATCGAAGCCCGAGGAGTTGATCTTTCCTGGCGCAGATTCGACAGTTGATGAAGAATTCTGAGCGTTAGATTGAGAGGATGGTTTTTGTACGTTGGTAGGACGTTTTGACTTGCGAGACTCTGCAAGCGCACCCTGAAGGTCCATCTCATCTTCGCTATCACTACCTTCAAAAGGGCCCTTCGTAGCTAGTTTGCTACTTCGTTGATTGGCAAGCCTTCCAATAGCAAGTCCAGAGCCCTTGGTCCTGGCGAAGGGATTAGTTTCTTCAGCACGCCTTTGTTGAAAAACCTCGCGAACTGGATCTTCTTCAGACTCTTCAGCAGTTTCTTGATGTTGTTGTACTCCTGATTGCATTGACAATGCAATCGCTTGCTGCAACTGTTCGTTCTCAAGTTCGTCGCCCGCCTCCTCGGCCAAATTATTGCTGCCACTAACATGCACGTCCATCCAGTCTTGGTCGTCGTTGTCATCAGCAAGGAACAACGAATCGGGATTTTGATCCACAGGCACGGCCCTCTTGGGCGCAGACTGCTTTGGCATTTCCTTCCTTGATCTGTAAAGCCGCCGACGCCGTGTTGCCAACTCATTTGCAATGAATTCACGACCTTCCTTTTCCTGGGCACTCAATCCTGCTTTAGGTTTAGGGAGTCGATTCAAGCCCTCAATTGGCACGTCCTCAAAATCTTCATCGTCTTCCCATTCATCATCATCTTTAGCTGGGGGTTGTGGCGGCTCTACCTCGATTGGTTTGTGGGCTTTTCCAGCTTCCTTGTTCAAGACCACTCCAAGGGCCCAACCACCCTCAACCCCGTCATTCTTTACAAGGACATACTCCCTGTCTCTCTCACCAGCAACGCGATTGAAACCACCACTTCCAAAGGCATCATCGTTCATGCCGTTGAGATTCATCAAGCGTTGCGTAAGTTCATTACGTTCGCGCACACGCTCAATCTGGAACTTGGAGAACGCCATTCTGTCGGGAAACATTGCATCGAGTTGTTCCTTCGAGTGACCCATCCTCAGCCGACTTCGCAGCCTGGCTGCGTTCAGGATATTATAGCGATCGGCGGGTGGCAAACTTTGGAAAAAGTGGCCATCAAAGTCGATCTTGGAGAAATCATAAACATTGATATCTTCGCCTCTATCGAACTGCCGTGCATACTCTTCCAGTTCCTCTAGAGACATGACTCTGGGGTCGTTCGCAGCGCCCATTTCCGACATGGACTTTCCCAGGTCTGGCAAATGATATTGATCTTTTCTTTTGAATGTGTGGTTCTGAGTCCGTTCCTGGGGCGTTTTGAGTAGTTCGTCTGCATAGACCAAGTTTTCAGGTATCTCCTCGTCTTGCTGGTTTTCCCGTGGATGTTTGGCAGCTTCCTTCCTCTTCCTATCCTCTTCCTCCGCAGCCCTCTGCATCTGTATTGCCAACAACTTCCCGGCTGTCTTGAGTGCATCATCTCGTCTGCCCTCCCGGCGCGACTTCCGGTGGCGGATAGTCTGTCGCTTCAGGGCCGGGGCGCCCCCGTCAAAGACGAACACAGGCTTTATGCCGATGAAAAGTAGCTTGCATACTCGGCGGAAGAAGCCGACGATATGGCTGTTCCGCAACGCATTTCCTTCCTTGTCGCGCACGGCTTTGAGGAACTGGTAGATCCAGATGGACGCATCGACAGCCAGTCGTTTCTTGTTCAGCGTCTCAATCTTAATCGGCCGCGCGCAGGGTTGTAAAACGGTCCAAAGGCCAGTAACACCCATTGCGCTCTTCTATGAGCGTGATCCATCGATTTCGACAGGTAAAGTGTGTGCCTGTATCACTCGAGGTGAGTTTTGACTGGGTGCTTGCTGCCTGGTGATCGCGCGTTCAAGGCGCGTCGTCAATGACGACATGCCAAGCCTGGCCCACAGTCCCACGCGACCTTCACGTGTTTGGGCTGGACTTTCTTCAGACGTCTCTCGGTCTTCGTGGACAGGATTATTAGTCTCTCAAAATTACAATTTGTACAGTTTAGTTTAGCTATTATACATATCAAAATGGCCTATATTGCTTGTTACTCAAGCCCAAGGCCAACGCCAACGGTTTGCGATTCCTTTTTGTCTCCTTCGTCGTCACCAAAATCTGCGTCGCCATGATCCTCTTCATCTCCTATTCCTGCATCCACATCATGAAAGTCGCTGCCTTTATGCTGATGCTTATATCGAGAAGTGCTCTGGATCTCATCCGAGTCATCCGAGTCATCAAAGACTCTACTCTGGTTCCTCCCAGTCGGGAAATCACCCAACCCACCCGGAGGTCGAAGCTCGAACATTGAATTAGGGCGGTCGTGGCTGTATGGCATAGCATGCGACTTGCCTTGAGCAGCTGTAGGTTGCGCGAGGTCAGGTCGTGGGGACGCTTGTGGCGAGATGGCCGACCACCAGCCGCTTAGCCGCTTGGACAACGAAGGGCTGTCTGGGACATCTGTCTCCTTCTCCACTTTTGTTACAATTTTATCCAGCTTTCCCTTCTTCTTCCGGGTAAAGTTGAAGCCCAAAGGAAGATCTATCGGCGATCCGGGTCTTGAAAACCCAGCAGATGAAGAAGACTCTGAACCAGATGCAGGATATGGGGCGTCTCCGGTAGGTCCATCGCTATGTGTTCGCTTGAGCAAGCTGCGGAGATCCTCTTCACTGAGGGTGTTGATTACTTCTTCATCGCGTACGCCACGAGGTTTGTACCTGCGCCTGCCCTCTTGAATGGCGCGTTCTAGCTTGGCTCGGTTCGCAATGAACTTTAGTTTCGGAAACGCAGATTGCTGGCCTACATGAATCATGCGTGCTAGTCTTTGTGGGGTAGGGTCAGACAAGATATGAATGAAGTCCGAAGGGATGGACTTGGGCCAAATGGTGATGGTTCCGCTAAAGCGTTGCAGCCAGAGCTCGCTCCAATCTTGGCCAAGGGGCCTCGGTAATAGTTCGAGGTGACGAAGGACCTTGAGCCATTTATAGAGATCAAGTTTGAGATACTACGAAGATGGTTAGAGGAGCACTAGATAAAGAATTCATAGCGTTCAAGACAGGGACAGTTGATTGAATGCCTGTGTGTTCTCTACGTACCTGCTCTGTGGCTGAGCCGAGAAAGCCACCTCTCCAACCGCGCCCCCGTCGATGAGTGACAGGTTGACCGACTGATCCACGGGACGAAAAGAAAAAGATATTAATATGCGGATTGACCTGGCTAACGATTGAGAAGCGCACATTGAAATGAAGATTCAGTGCCTTGAGTGGTATGTCCGTCCTATATACCACGTGAGCCGTCGTTAAATAGTGGTAATGATGCTGATTCAATAACTTACCTTAGACTGCCATCTTTCCACTTGTGGCCAAAAGAGAAGGGTGAAAGACTTCCATCCTTGTTCTTCTTCATGAGTACGACTGGGTTGAGAATTCCAGGAACAGCAGCCGAAGCCAAAACCGCTGACCAAATGACACAGTCAGGGGCGGTGATATAGTTTGCTAGAATGGTTGGTGAGTGTGGATCAGCTGGCACGCAGGAAACATTGAGTATGCGACCGGTCCTTTGGTATGCTTCTCTGAACGTCAGGCTGCCATGTGTCATCCAAGCACACCTCTTGGCCCAATCCACACTGTCGAACCTGGCACCAGTCTTCCACCATCTCTTCGACCATGTGAGAACTCCTTCATGACAGGCCGTAATACGGTGGGCGAGCGCTGGTACAAGCGAACTTTTGAGTTCTTCATCCGTTCTTGTGCACAGCAACGCGGCTACAAGAGCGCCACCTGAAGTGCCTGTGATGACTTCGGGTAGTAGCTCAGCGTCCATTAGAGCTTTAGCCACACCAAAATGGTAGTAAGCAAATGTGGCCCCTCCCGAAAGACATAGGGCAGTGCGACCAAAGTTACTGCCCAGGTGCTTGAAGAGGGCGCGCTTGTTGTCAGCGTCGAGCTGCGTGGTTCGCAGGAGAAATGATAGGGAAGCCTCAGCTTCGTCGACGAAGTTCTGGACAAGAGTTTTGGTTCCGTAGTATGTTTCGCTGTACAACCGAGGGTTCTCAAAGCCAACGAAATTGTTCTTTATGGAGGCTGCGTAAAACGTTAGCCGGTTGTTCCCATATATAGGGGTATATCCCTACCCTCCAACAGCGCACGAAGGTCCTCGACAGCCGTGTGAGGGCCTGTAGTATGTTTGGAGCATGAAGCACTGTTTTCATCAGCCTCGGCCTTTTCCCGCAGCTTGACCATCTGCTGGTGTACCCTTGCGATAGTCTTGCTGTCATAGTAAGCGTATTCGGCCTTCTCCTTCCACGCATCGTTGCCAAGATATGTGTCTATTTCCTTTGCGCCCTGTATCCATTCCTCATATGACCTCGCGTCCTGTAGGCGTTGGCGCAGCCTCTGGCGTGTTCCGCGCCATGTGACCCAGTGCTCATATAGATAAATGTATAGGCGCGTGAAGACGTAGCCGATACTCAGGAAGAGCAGCCATCCGAGCACGACAATCAGCAGCGGCCACTTGAGCAATATATAGACGAAGCCCTCGCGCGTCTCGTCCTTGCCGCGACGTGGAGGGGCCTTCGTCTTCTTGCGCCGCTTGACGCGCTGGTGGACGGGGCGCCAGTCATTTTGGGCGGTGATGAAGGCACGTTCGGGCGGAGGCGAAGTGAGGTCCTCGGTCGATGGCGAATTCTCTGGCGCAGCGAGCGCTTTGGCGAATTCAATGAAATGGTCTTCTTCGACAAAGTCGTTATCGTAGTCAGGCAAGAGGGTGAAGTCGAAGCCGGCGGTCGAGTATGGCTCTGGGCCGTCTGTCTTCTTGTCGATGTCAGCCATGGGGTAGGGAGTGGCGAGATGTATATTTCATCGCAGAATACAAAGGAACATGTCACGTCAGATGAATAGACTCAGGGTGTTGAGAGTGGCATGTGAGGCTCTAAGCTTCGGAGGTTTACGTCACAGGGCCTGCCGAGGCCTGGGCCCTGCGCGCATCGGAACCCTTCCGACATGCACAGAAATCCTCCTCGTTCGCTACCCGCTACCACCATTGCTGTACCTGCACCCACACCCGTACCCCTACCACTCCATACTCGCCCACACCGCAGAGCTAATGCGGCCTCGTTCCCCTGGGCTCCAGGCCGCCATCCGCTCAATAAATTGTCGCCTACGCCAAGGGTCATCGCAAAGATGCCTCATGACCCTTGCCATTGAGACATCATGCGATGATACTTCGGTGGCTATAGTCGAAAAAGGAAACTACCATGGCCACGTGACAGCCAAACTACATTTCCACGATAAGGTCACGTCCAACAACTCAGTATACCAAGGCGTTCACCCCCTGGTATCGCTTCAATCTCACCAGGAGAGCCTTGCAACACTTGTGCATGAAGCCATACGCCATCTCCCAATGCGCAATGGGCCTGTTCTCTCGAATGCAGAGTTGACGCAGTCAGGCCAAGTAGACATTGCAACAAGAAGACTGCCCGACTTCATTTCCGTTACACGCGGGCCTGGTATGCGTAGTAATCTGTTCACGGGCCTCGATACCGCAAAGGGACTGGCTGTAGCATGGCAGGTACTGCACGCTGGTCTCCCCATGAACCTGCCACTGACACCTGCCCCAGAAACCTCTCGTTGGTGTTCACCACATGCAAGCACATGCTCTCACGCCACGAATGGTGAGCGCTCTTAAATCCCATGCCCATCCATCGCCTGAACCTGCGCCCAAGTTTCCGTTCTTGTCAGTGCTAGCATCTGGTGGCCATACGCTACTCATCCACTCTGCTTCTTTGACACATCACCATGTATTGGGGTCCACGAATGACATTGCCATTGGAGAATGCTTGGACAAGATTGCTCGTGTCGTCTTGCCTGCACAATTGCTGCAAACAACCAAGAGCACCATGTATGGAGCACTGTTTGAAGCATTTGCATTTCCTGATTCAGGTCTGGAAGGCCAAACAACTTTAACCTCCCCGTGTATGCAGTTCATACAGTCCGCTGAAAGTTACCTGAGTATGCATGGTCATCGGTATGAGTGGTATAACGTCCCGACAAATCACGAAGATGCAATCCGGAGAAACACTACTAAATGGGGTTGGGCTCTCAATAAGCCACTGACTAAATCCGGTGGGGGTATCAAGATTAATAGCCTAGAGATGAGTTTTTCCGGCATCACCACAATGGTCGAGCGCATCGTACGATATGGCATAGACCCTACTACGAGGAAATTCAACAAAGTTGAGCGAGCAGCTACTGAGATTGAAATGGAAGAGAGAATGGATCTGGCCAGAGAAACTATGCGCGCAGCTTTCGAGCACCTAGCTTCGCGAGTGGTGCTAGGCCTGCAATCCCAGCGAGATATCACGACGTCAAAGCCTGCCGTCGTCATGGCTGGAGGCGTCGCTGCGAACTCCCTTCTTCGACACATGTACGTACACTTAATCCAAGGACTTGCGCCCGCCGTCATTCGGCTGTAGAGATAGATCAAGCTAACCTCTTATCAGACTTGCGTGTACCCTTTGTGCTCACGGATTTCCAGATGTTGAGCTGTACTTTCCTCCTCCCAAATTCTGCACCGACAATGCTGCCATGATTGGATGGGCCGGACTCGAGATGTTCGAAGCGGGATATATCGACCCACTAAGCATTCGCGCCATACGAAAATGGCCACTGGACAAACTCCTAGATCCTCCAGAAGACGGGTGACGGCCAAGCACGTCCTATATGCAACAGGGCTCTCTTCCTCCCTTGGCCCCCGGGACTACACCACCAATATCCGCCTTCCCGGGTATTCCATAGTGGAAACAAACAACTGGTCAATAATCAGTGTGTCTGCAAGCAGGACCAGTGTCGCTGTCATGATTCGGCGTCTCGTGATTACGAGAACAATCTGATTGCAAGGAGAACTTTCAGTTCGACGGCTGTTGCGCTCTTCATATTCCCTCCTGGCACGTCGCACAGTTATCAGCATAAACACACCGAGGTATGGGCTGTGGCAGTTCGCTGCCGGGCTGTGGTGTTCCTAATGGGGGTTATATGGCCATGTCTTAGTCATATCAGACAAAGCCAAGGGCTTCTGATAATGTTGATTCTGGACCGAGGTCATGCAAGTGAGGTAGTTTCGTTGGTTGAGTGACACGATTGTTAAAGTTGGTTCATTGGTTCATATATTATGCAAAGTCCTCACGAGGGAAACCCTGCATTCTCGGCTGTTTGCAACCATGGCACGATCACGCAAAATACCCAGCAATATAGCCAGACAAGATGCACTTTAATTTTGCCGACACCTTCCACATTTTGTGAATTCAACACACGCTACTGGACAGTGTATGTCTAAAATTAGGTTTCTCCCAAGTGACACTGCAGGTAGACCCGGCGGTTATCACTGTATATTGCGCTGCGAGATCGAAGCACAACCTAGAGCCCAGAACATGGACTATCAAGCCTCGCTAATGCAGATGCCTATGGTGTCACACAGATGCAACCGAAGTTCACAAAGGACTCATGGCGCGTGGTCTCGTATCTTTCATCTTGGCACTGTATCGTTGCATGTTCTCCTAGATTGACCAGAATCGGTGACTTGAGAAACGTCTATAACTTCGCCACACATTCGCAATGAGAGAGCAGATTTACATCACGGAACTGTGAAACTTGGTCTTGCACCATACGTCTTCGAACAAACATGGCTCCTGCACGCAACAGTGTGCTGGTGCTACTTGGCCTTGCAATCAGGTTTGTTATTCTGCCTGCATCTATCTACCGATACTGACGTGTTTTAGTATTCGTGCTGCACCTGCTGGCTTTCAAGAGCGTCAAGTAGAGATAACCCCACCTCAGCAAAGCGTCTCATGGGACACTGGTAACCCGGAGCCCACCGAGGGCCCCTACGAGCCTGTCAACCCACCAAATCCAACGGACCAAATCAGCCTTGGAAAACCGTCATTCTGGATTAGCTGGGAGACTAGTGAGCCTGAACCGACACCCAAACCTGAATACCCCCCACCAAAACCGAGCGACCAATTCAGTATTGGCAATCCGTCCTATAGCATAAGCTGGGATGGAGAAGGCCCAGGTGCCTCCTCGACGCCCACTCCTATGCCCACACCTACACCTAAGCCAACTCCAGAGTACCCATCCGTCACATCGTCACCACCTATCTCGACAAGCTCCAGGACTTCTGAACAGACTTCTTCTTCAGTGCCTACCAGCAAGTCCACTTCAACCAAGAAGGTTTCTTCGACCAGAAAGCCAGGATATCCTCCTTGGAACCCGTGGCCACCAAGACCAACGACTTTCAAATCTACGACGAGACCCAAGCCGTCGTCAACCCAAGAGCCGACATCAACGAAGGAAGTACAAACCAGCTCACCACCACCACAGTATAGCATAAGCTGGAACATGGAGCAACGCAATGTTAAGCCTACGTCTACAAAGAAGCCAATGCCTACCCCGACTCCTAAGCCTACATCCAAGGTAACCCCTAAGCCTACGTCCAAGGTGACTCCTAAGCCTACGTCCAAGTCCACAGCCCCATCTACTTCAAAGGCTACACCCAAGCCCACCCCAACATCCACTTCAAAAGCCACTCCCACCCCCACTCCTACCCCCAAACCAACCCCAACCCCAGAACCCGACACCACCTCCTACGCTCCCCCCGACATCACCCTCGGCCCCCCCAGCTTCAGCATAAGCTGGGGAAAACGCTCCCCAGAACCCACTTCTGCCCCTTTCCCTGAAGACGACCCCTTCCCAGAAGAAGAAGACCCAGACTTTCCCCCGTCGCCGCCCACTCTCCCCTCCCAGCCCAACAACATCAGCATCCAACCCCCCACCGCAACCGTCATCTGGGGCAAACGCCAAGACGACTCTGAACTACCTCCCGAGGATGATGATGATTTTCCTCCACCATCGATCCCGAGTCAGGTGAATAGTGTGGGGGTGGAACAGCCTACTGCAACGGTGATTTGGGGGAAGAGACAGGAGAATGATGGTGGTGATGATGATGATGATTTTCCGCCTCCGTCGATTCCAAGTCAGGTTAATAGTGTGGGGGTGGAACAACCTACTGCGACTGTGATTTGGGGATGATTATGGTTATGGTGAGGAAGGAGTAAGGGAGGTGTAGAGGGGATGGGAGATGGTAGTAGTCAATTTGCGTTATGAGGAATTTGAATTTGGTAGGAGATGTTAGTGTCTTTTTTTCTATGTGTAGTTTTGGTAGAGAGTATAATGCAATATATTGTATTGCCCATGCGATGTTTTCCTGAAGCTACACGTGTTCGTGATTGTCTGAGCGCACCTTTCTTACATTAAAGTGTGTGAGCAACACGCAGCTGGGGGTACTTTGTCACACTCATCCCGGTTCAACCCCATAAAAACTCCTCACTATTAACGTCGCTGTATCCTCCTTTTCTCTCCGCCGAAAACCAAACGAAACTGTTACAAACTTTGTGTTCATATCAACATGACATATCCTAGGGAGAACCCCTCCCTTCCCAGTAAAGTTGGCAAACAAAGAAAAAAGGGAGTGATGAGACTATCAACAAAAAGCTGTGCGCACTACATCTCCATCCGACTACGATCGACGGCGCGCGTAATACGCAACAACATCGTTGCCCTGCCTGGCACCCTCGAGAAACGCGAGAGCAACATCTTCAATGCGGTGAACGCGTGATCGAAGCGTCACTGCAAAGTTGTGTGCGATGTTACTCGCGTGGGCGTCTCCCGTCTCGTCGTAACGAAGCTGAAACGAATCGACCAAAGCGGCGATGAAACCTTGAATGTGGACGTGGCTAACACGTTCACAATGCATACCAAAAGCCCGCGCGATGGCTGCCACCGCTCGTATGGTATGTGTGGTGATGGTATTAAGTTGTTCACACATGCGATCAGAAACATGGCGTGTGCGTCTACGGGGTTGAAATGCGGATAGGTTTAGAAGCTGAGAGCAGATGGGGTCCCTTTGTGCTAGAATGTGGAGGTCGGCGATGGGAAAGTGATGTAGGATTGCTCCGGCGGGTACCGAAGCCCATACCATACGTTCTACGAGCTGTTAGTAAGATGAATAGAGCAGTGGGTAGACTGGCAACTTACCTGCGTGACCTTTGTAGCGAGCCCACCATGCCTGACCTTCGGACTTGAGCATTCGAAGGACGTCTGCTGCTGCTAACGTCTTATTTGGTGTTGTAAGTGAGGGATGGCCCAATGCCACTGTCATCGTCTCAGATAAAGTCATTTCTAAATTTCTCCAAATAAAGCATTTCACTCACCAATAGCTATCCATGGGTCATCCATGGTGCTTGCTTTGACCAAAGCCTGTAGTAAGCTCGTAGACAAGGAAACAAAAGTAGACGCCCCACCCTTCAAGCACAAATCTGTAAATTGATGGTTATTGTAGATTCTAGGAAGGTTTCATTTCTTCTTGGTACTTACGCAAGTTGGTCAACAGCTTCAGTGCATCCCTGCCCTCACCGTCTGGAGTGAATGGTGGAGGATATTCACCGCGCCAGATGGTAAAAGCCTGGCTGACAAACCCATCTTCCTTACTGAATATTGTTCTACTATTCTCATCCCAGACGCGAAATGCAATTTTTCGCTTGATAGGCTCCATAGAGGACCGCACTTGTTCCACTAAAGCTGTTCGGGGGCTCGGGTTTTCAGTATCAGACCACCTTTCTTCGTCTTGGTTGTTTGTGGACAATGCTACATTCCCGAGTACGCATTCTGATATCGGTATTTCTTGCTGATCTGACGGCAATACAACAGGCTCAGTCAATCGAGAAATTTGACCCTTTTCTTTCTCCTTTTGCGCAGCGCGGCGAACTAGGGACCTATACGTTTTTCTGGTCCTTGGGGACTTCGCCCACCGGGCAGCGCCAGAGTCGAACGCAATTTCTGTTTCTCTGCGCTGTAAATCAATGCCCGAGTCTGTAGCAGTTTCTTCTATAATTCCACGGATAGCATTGTACCGCCCTTCTGGATCGTGAAATGGAATAGCCATTACCCGGGCGTACTCTGAAAAGGCGCGTCCGCCATACAGCAACACATGGTTCTCAAATTGATACCGTACAACTGAAATCCGAAGGTCAAGGCCGGTAACATAGTTGAACACCCGGGGAAGAGTAGTCTGGTCAGCATTGTCGTACCACCTATACAGAATAGTCAATAGCTCCCGTTGATCCTCATCCCACAGATGTGATGGAGCCCTTTCAATCCTTCGGAGCGCCACCAGAGATTGTAGATTGCTTAAGTCTTGTAGAAACGATGCAGATGTAGCGTGGTTACTAGAGCCACTCATTTTGAATGTGAGTTTGCGACGTACTGATAGGGAACCTCTCGCAATATTGCTTGAATTGGAGCGACGGGTATCACCAGGATGTAGAAGATGGCGACCAGTTTTGTTTAGTGCCATGCGGCGAGGACAAGGTGTGGACTGTGACTCGATGCTACCAGAAGCGCAACTTGAGGAGCTTATCAGACTCCTGGAAAGGTCAATGCTGTTTGTCTTGGGTGTATAGGTGTTTTCTTCATGTAACCAGGAGGCAGAAGAAGAACAATGCGATGCTTGCGTCGAACCCTCTCTTTCTGAAGGCGAAGGCAGGTCTGAAGATTCGAATATTAAACTTCCTTTCCAGGGCTCAATACTGTTAAGTGATGGACCGAAAACATCTTCATATGGAGGAAGGGTTAGCTCTCGTTGGGCACGATCGCAATTGCTAGCTAAAGACCCTTGTAGATTGTTAGCATTTGTATCGAATGAGAAAACGATCAGTAACTAGTTGTCTCTTGCCTTGTAAATGTTTGTCTGTAGCGGTGTGTGACTGCTCATGCTGAGGCTGCTCTTCCACTGCTTGACTGATGACGGCCTCCGAGGTTGGCTCCCATACCATTACTCCGGCATCTGCTTCCCGCCATATGTGATCTGTCATGGTAAGGCTGCTCAAAATATACTTTTATTGAATTGCCGGTCAAGTTTAAAGATGAAGTAAGACTTTTGGTGCTGCATACTGTTGGTAGTACAGCGTACTAGCATACCAAGCCTTAAGTAAACGCGAAACGCCATCTGACGTGTGACGAGCGCGTGTACCGTGTGGTGAAGTGAACAAGGCTCGTGCGTATGTGTCGTGATATCTGCGAGGCAACGAGAGCTGCAAGGGCGAGTGTTGTAGGTGCAGGTGCTTACTCATCGCTGCCGAGATGGTAAGTGAGGAAGTTACGAGGCAAGTACTCTCTGCTCTTACCTAGCAACCCGCACGTGATTTCCTGCAGCTCTATCAGTCCAAACCACACTTGCAACCTCACCGTCTCGTTTCAGAAACATGCTCAACCGGTAATAGCGAGAGTCAATGACTTCTCAACAAGGGCGACTCATCATGAAGCAAACAGCAGACAGTTTTGAGTGGTATCATTCATCTAGCCTAAAGTGATATACTAGACTCAGAATAATATTATACACGGGGCGTAGGTAATATACTATAGGCGTGGGTGAGAAAAGTTGGACGTCTACAATAAACCAAACGTGTGTGTAGTGGACAAAGAAAAGGAAACGATATTACCCTCCCACGCTACGTGACATTCATTATCTGTAAAAGGAGTGATTTGAAAAAACCAAGGGGGAAAGTTGAGATGGATGGATGAAGGTTGTGATCATAAGACTTTTCGGGGCATTAGATAGGATGACAAGGGCACGAGTGGGGTAGCCAGTCTTTGCAAAAGGCCGTTGAGTTGGCAAAAAAACAAAAAAACGAGATTTTTTTCCCTCAGTGATTGAAATGCCGTAATCAAAGAAGGCGTGCACCCGATATGCGTACGCAACAGTGAAAGAAGCGGACAGTAGAGGTTGCCTGTGATACTCCCAGAGCATGCGAGAGAAGCTGATTTCCATACTGAATCGTAAAAGCGGGGCTCCTCGATTGACGGCACAATGTGGTTGCGTTTGGTTGTTTTGGGGTGAGTGTAGTGACGGGTTGCTGGGTATTGCATAAGCGCCCGAGCGCGGTGCTTTGGCTGCTGCGAACATGCATATGCGAGGTCCACGCACAGACGGCCCTTAAACGGTTCGATAAGAGGACGCCATCTTACGCCGCAAGGCTCCCCACCAACAAAAACAACGACGCCTCGTGGAAGTGCACACGGGCTCGCTTATTTGTGACCGTGCTGCTCGGTGCAGATCTTCCTGACGACCCACTTCTCCCAGAACTTGCGTTGCTGGTTGGTGACCATGACACCATCGTCTCCTAACGCGTCTACACTGTCCATATGACCGTTGCAATTGCACCAGGTGACCGAGGCTGGGGTATCCGGCATGGGTGGGAAGTGGAGAGTTCCGCCCTGCTCCGGTTCCGGGTCGTCGGTTTCTGTATCCGATTCTGTGCCAGCTATCGAGCTGTCGTCGTGATCGTGTCCATTAACGCTGTGGTTGTCGAATGGCTCTTCTTGTTCCCCATCATATTCCCAGTCGTCGCTCTCGTCACTACTGTCGCTTCCAACAAGAGGATCGTCTGGTACTTCGGCGCCCAACACCCACTGCTCATCGAAATGTTGCTCGTAGTCAATTCGTCTTAAACTGACCCAGTCGAGCCTTGGAAGATCGTCCCGCAGGCAAGGCAGGACATCTTTCCATCTACTGCCTTGCCTCAAAAGTACGTCTCGGAGCCGCAACCCGCGCAATGTTTCTCGATGTCTCTGTGCAAACCCAATGATTTCTTCTGCATCTAGCCGCCATGCTTGTATGCCAAAAGCCTGTAACTTGTCCCACTTGACGTTATGGAAAAGTTCCTCTAGTTGGATGGAGAGTGGCCTGTAGGATGGAAAGCCGATATGTAACGCCTCTATGTTCTTGGCTGCAGTGAATAGGGCCTTGGATAGAGAAGAGAGGTCTCGCATGCGTACATCAAGGTCGGTGCTATCATCAAAGTGTAACTCCAAGCAAGTCAGGCGACTGGCAAGGATGCCTAATGTGGATGGCGGATTCTCAACGGCACTCGACACACTCTGTGGACTAAGCATGGGCGAGGAGATTCTTGAGCATGGAGATCCTGACTTGAGAAGGGCCTGACCTATTGTCTTTGCGCTGTGCAGGCAGGCCGGAGGCCACCGCGGGACTAGGTCGTTTAGTTCATGGCTCCGCATGTAATTAATAAGCTTCCCCTCTTCTTGGTCCTGCACACGCAGAATCTGGATGTGCTGGAGGGAAGTGAATTGGCGAAGTGCTATGTGGAGAATGCGGGCATCTTCTCCAGTGCGGACAATTTCTCTCTGTTCGTTTGCCTTTGTTTGGAAGTGACGAACATCAAAGAGGGCGAAGCTGTTGGGCTGTGTATGGAGAAGTTCTTGTAACCGCTCCCGTCCTACAGCCGAGTTAGTGTTGGTTAGATATATGGGATTTGGGGGGGGTTTGAAGAAAAAGGGTTAGTCGGACCTTCGTCGTAGAAGAACGGGACCATGTAACTGAATTTCTTGACACGGCGGGCAATGTGCGGCTGGCTGGCAATCTTCTCGAGTCGGTCAAGGCCTCTTTTGGAGAAACGGGTGGTGACACGTGAGAATTGATGGATGACGCCGAGGTCGGAAAACTTTGTGCAGGTCAGGCGAAAGGCGGCGATGGTCTGGGCTTGGTCGTGGTCCGGAGGCAGAGGCAGCTTGAAGCTCTCCTGGGAGAGATAGGCGCGGCGTTCGAGGCTAATGGGCTTTTCGGGTTCCGAGGCGACATATTCGAGAATGATGCGAAGAAGCTCGTCGGCAAGATCAAGGATACCCATTTTATGTGGGGCTATTCATGACGGCAGTGGGAGAACAGGATTGCTATGGCGGGGGGTTGCTCGGGCAGGCAGGAGCGTAGGGCACGAGGGGGGAGGGGGATATAGTAGTGTGGGAGCAGGAGCAGGAGCAGCGAGAGAGGGAAAAAGAGAGACACAGAAACAGAGACGAGACAGAGAGACAGAGACAGAGCGAGGGCTCGGGCCGGATCGGGACAGGAGATGGACGGGCGACGGGAGGCGGATGGAGGGCTGTCGCGGGCCAGGCTTGTCAACTGACAGCGTGGTGTTGTCCGGCGGCGATGTTCTGTGAGACGAGACAAGCGAGGCGAGGAGCAGCCAGAGGGCAGAGGGGCAGGGCAGGGCCGGGGATGGGAATGCATGACCTTCTTCGCTAGTAGTCAGCTAAGCGTCGCTGGAGTTGAGGACGACGAGTGGACACGCACCGCGGCCACAGCGGCCACTCCCCTGCCTGCACACTGCAAAAGCCCCCAATGGCACGGGGCGCCTTAGCCTGCAAACCGCCTAGCGCTCACATGACCTGACCTCGACGCGGCCGCCCGCCATAAGCACCCGTCGAGTGACGGGACCGTGGCTCCTCCCGCCTCGACTCTCGCGGATTCGTTGTATGCCCACCGCCTGCCTGCACCTGCTGCACCACCACTGCCCGACAAAGGTGGGGCGCATATCCCCGACAACTCTACTTAGCTACTCTACTCTACTCTACTCTACTCTACATATCCACCCTACCGCCGTCCCCAAGACCCTTGGATGCCTGCGTTGCCAGCACAGCATGCGTCTCGAGCGCTTGTGACGCTAATCACCCGACCTGCAGAGCGTCATCACCACGATACCATGGCCGTGCCCTTGGAATCGCCCAGCCCACGCACCGCAACCCACACAGCACGCTGCCCGGCCTGGCTGACTTGTCACCGACTGCCTCTCTCGATTGCATATATCGTCATTCCTGCCGTCGTCCCCCTTGCCCCGTGCCAATGCCACTGCTAATGCTAGCTACCATGTATCAAATCAACCCCCCCCCCCCCCCACAACGTCATTTGCATCTTGTGTCGTCGTGTCGCCTCATCCTCCGCACCCAGCCCTGGTGCTCCGTTACACAAGCACTCAACCCAGACGTCGATTTGTCTTTTTTTCCACCCTGTCCACCTGTCCACCCGTCCATCGACTTACATACCGCCACATACTGCCTCAACTCGCCCTGCCTTTATCCGTCATTTCCGCCTGCTTGTCTTCGCCTCATCTTCCTCGCCCCCTGTGCTCTAGACCCGAGCGCGCTCGCTGTGTTTGCGCCGGATCTCGGTACTGCTCAGCTTGCTCTCGAAAGATTCGTCCACGTTGTCTTCTTCGCTGGCATCGAGAACCGCAACCTCAAACACCTCGAGCGCCTCCCAGCACTGCTCCTTGCGCTTTTCGTTGACTGCCGCACCCCCGCTCCTCGTTTCGAGCGACAGCACCAGGGCGGTAATGTCCTTGTCGGTGATGGTCGGGCCAAAAGGATCCCATATCTCGACATATTTGATAGTGAGCCCAAGGGGATAGCTGACGTGCACGGCATGGCCATTTGGCCCAGGCTCATTCAGTTCTTCGACGCGAATCCGCTCGTCATTTGGAGATCCAAAGTAGACAAGGTGTGAGAGAAAGTCGTGTACAGACTCCTGGCGTTGCTTCCAGCTCTCAAGCTGGTCTGCATACTTTTTCTTCTGTAGCAGGGCATCTCCAGTGATTCCAACGGTAAGCACACTGGGCTTCGACTCTGGAGTAGACGACTGCCGTCTCCCCAGCATGAATGCGAACATGGTTAGCAGCAGCTTGTGGCCAATGTGAAGATGATCAAAAGTCCCTCCAACAGCTACTGAGATGTGGTTCGTGGCTGCACTGGCCTGTTCAAGAGACGACTCTGGCGCCGAAGCGTCTACACTCACTAGTCCGCCCCGGACTTTGTTCACAGCGTACTGAGATTTGGCTAGAGATGCAAAGGCGCTCAGCACTTGCTCGCCTTGTTCACTCTCGACTGAATAGACGACGTTCCATGACCGATGACTGCGAGCTAGTGTATGCATGTCGACGGCTGGGCCTTGGAGTTCCTGCTCTGGAGTAGCATCCGGCAGGGGCCCGATCAGGTGACCGTCTCTTGGGTATGCCACCAGCACAATGCGAGCGTCGATACCTTCCTCATCCTCAGTATCGATAGCGTGCCTGCTTGTCGTGATGCAAATGAGCTTGTAGAGGTCAGCGACTAGCTGCTGCGTGATGGCGTAATAGGGTCCCCGCGGCGCATCAAGATGTCCGTACAGGTGCGGGCATGGTAAAGCAATTTCCAAGAGAGTATGCCCCTGTGATTTAGACTGTGATGCTGCCAGCTCTTTCAAAACGGTGCATATTGGGGCGTTGTATGCAGCCTTGAGTGCTGCATACGATGACGGAGCTGGTGCAGGTGGCAGCAGCAACAGGGCACGGTGGACTGGCTTGCGTGAGGGCGGCATGGTTACAAAATGACGAGCAATCACCAGACGAACCAAAGGTGTGGTAGGGACAGAGACAGAGTTGAATGCAATACGTCTTGCGAGCAGAGGGAGCATGAATCGCGGGGGCTCTACTGCAATGTCCGTCCTCTTTCCCGCCCTGGACGTGAATGGGAGGGTTAGTTGGAGGGGTGGTGGGGAACATTTGCCGAGACAGAGCCGCCCAGGGACTCTACATACGCCAACCGCACATGTCGCTTTCCCAGACGACTCTACGCCGCAACCGTTGCACGTCACTTTGTTTTTCTTTTCCCTCTTGGTGAGCCAGCGCGGTAGGAATTGTAGGCGCCATGCCCTTCGGACACCACCACCAGAATGCGCCCCTCGACCCAGCACAGGGCATCTATGCCGCCGCTTCGGCGCTTGGGAGTATGTAGGCCTCCGGGGCACTCTACCTGAACACCAGCTGATAACCATCTCCCCCATCCGCAGGCATAGGAGCGCCTGGAGGTAATCTGCGCGCAGCAACCCAGGGCACCACACGGGCGGGCACCGATGCCTTTCTGCCAGGAAGCAGTGGCAATGCCCAAGCACCGGGTGAAGCGTACATGGCATCCACGGCACCGCCAGCTGCAAACTCGAGCTTCGACACGCCGCGACACAAAGTGCCCAGCATGGGAGGGCGCGCACCAGAAGAGCACCATGTGTCGGCAGCAGTAGGTCAGCATGCCTCAGTGCCTCCTCCAGCGACGTCGGGCCAGCAAATGTACAACCCGCCCGACACCTATCGGTCGGCGCCCAACATCAACCTTGACCATGGCACCCCGCAAAACAGCCAATATGCCTCTCCCGCCGTGCCTGGCAGTCTCCAACCTGCAAGCGGTGCGGCGTCGCAGCAACAGCAGCAACAGCAGCAGCAGCAGCAGCAGCAGCAGCAGCAGCCACAACAGCCACCGCAGCCACAACCGTCACAGCAGCTGCAACAGCAGCAGCTGCAGCGACCCGGCCCTGCCACTTCCTACACTGCCCCCGTTGGGCCTTCCCAGACGCAGATAGCCACAAACGCTCAGCAGTACACGCTACCCACGCGCTCAAACACAATCAGCCAGTCCCAGCACTCCCCCCACTCGTCGCACTCGTACTCGCGCTCCAGCCCAGCCGGCCTGGGCCCTGACCAGAAATACATTCCTTTTTCCAATACCCCCGAGCAGCAGCAGCCCAAGTACGCCGCCGGCACGCCCGCGCAAAAGTACTATCCCACGACCCCTTCGGGCGCCGCCTCCCAATCTCCCCTCGGCCTCGCGGATATTAGACCACGCGCAAACTCGAATATGGAGCCTGAGAATGCGGGTCACGGCAACCCGACCCTCGGTGACATGAACAAGGTGCCCTCCAACAGCAACTACCTCGCCCCCTGGAGCATATACGCCTTCGATTGGTGCAAGTGGAATGTATCGGGGAGCAACAGCGCCGGCAAGATGGCCGTAGGCAGTTACCTAGAAGACAACCACAACTTTGTAAGCAGTCATTTATGTACGATGAGACGTCAACTAATGCGCCGTTTAGATCCGCATCCTCGACACGCAGATAGCGCCCCAAGACGTCTCCACCCCTGGCGCAACCCCCTTTGGCCTTGAATACAACGCCATTGCCGAGGCCACATGCTCCTTCCCAGTCACACGCATGTTGTGGGAGCCGCCCTCGTCACAGAAACAGTCGACAGACCTCCTCGCAACGTCTGGCGACCACCTGCGCCTATGGTCGCTACCCCAAGCCTCTGGAAACACCACGAGCAACACCATCACACGCTCATCATCCGTGAATACACGAGAACCTCAACTTCCTAAGCTTACACCACTTGCGCTCCTCTCTAATTCCAAGACACCAGAACATACCGCTCCGCTAACGTCCCTTGACTGGAACACTATGTCGCCGAAGCTCATCATCACCTCCAGCATAGACACAACCTGCACAATTTGGGATATACCCTCTCTTACAGCAAAGACACAATTGATTGCCCACGACAAAGAGGTCTTTGACGTTCGCTTCTGCGCAGGCAGTGTCGACGTCTTTGTGAGCTGCGGTGCCGATGGAAGTGTGCGCATGTTCGATCTGCGCAGTCTGGAACACAGCACAATCATCTACGAGCCTTCTGACAAGGGAGCAGATAGAGACAAGGGTTAGTACATCTTGTTTTCCTACGTATACTAGTAATTAACTCCACACAGGCTCACCAACTGGCCGCATGTCTCCGACCAAAGCACAGCAGACCATGTCGTATGCTCCACCGCTGCTCCGACTCGCCGCTTCCCCACACGACTCACACCTCCTTGCTACCTTTGCCGCCGACTCCAACCTCATCCGTATCCTCGATGTTAGACAACCCGGCCAAGCCCTGCTTGAACTTCGCGGTCACTCTGCAGCTGTCAACAGTATAGAATGGAACCCCTCTCGGAGAGGAATGCTTGCATCCGGCGCCGATGACTCGCTCGTCTTGATATGGGATCTGCTACACGCAAACAATGGTGCTACAATCAGCAACGAACATGCTTCAATACAGCCTCCACCTCCACCTGCAAACTCGCACCCCGCAAATGGCGCTGCAAACCAGCAAAATGCACCAGTCGGCCAAAAGGGGCCATACGCTAGTTGGCGATGCGACTATGAAGTTGGTAACCTCAGCTGGGCACCTCAGAGCGCATTGACTGCGCAGGGCGGCGAATGGGTCGGTGTTGCTGGTGGACGCGGTATCTGGGGCGTCAAGTTATGATGAGTGCTTCAAGTCGGAAATCTATGAGGGAGAAAAATGAATCGGTGATAAAGGAATCAAAGTCAATCATGTGACATATGAGCAAGGAGAGACGTTACAGAACGCCGTCTTGTAAATGACACTGCTGATATGGAACAGTCAGACGATGAAAAGAAGAAAAAAGTGCATAAACTGTTCATGTCTGGCTTGGCCTTGTTTGTTCTCCCAATGAGCGATCCTGTTTCTTCGGCGTTGGATGGTAGCGTTTGTGCTTGCATGTGTGTATTTTACGTTTGATCGAGATACCTGAAAGTCTTATTGTCTTGAGCATTACACATCTCTTGGGGAAATGAAATGGTGCTTGAATAGTGATGTGTTGCAATCATGATGAGGATATCAAGTTTGACTTGATACAAAGTCATCCGTGGCATACGCTCAGACATGTTCGTCGAATTGCTTCATTGTACTTGGAAAAAAACAACCCCCCACGCAGAACTCAGACTCCATCCTTTACCCATAGTACTCCCATGTCATGTCATTTCAATCACCGAATAAACACCTCAACAACAACCTCATTGCTCCACCCAGCCTTCGAATCCGTCTCCTTCCACGCCCTCACCGTATCAATCTCAAGCACATTCTCGCACCCTTTACTCACACTGACACAATGCAGGGGGATCGGGCGTCCAAACAGTACCGCGAAAAAGTCATTTTCGATCGAGCGACTAGGGAGATCCGAGACGTACAATCCTTTTTTTTTCTCACGTTAGCACTGCACATGACACGAAAGAAAAGAAGAGACAAGTAAGTAAGGGAAGAAGAGGAGGACGAGGAGGAAAAGGAGGACGACACTTACCAAACGTGCCCAAAACCTTCAAACTGGACCAAACCCTCAAGCGCCCCGAACTGCGCTCGACATACGAATCCGAGTTGATAATCGCCGCCGCGCCCGTCATTTTACCCAGGACCCCCAGGTTCGCCACACTAATGTGTTTTGGACCGCCAGCTCGAAGATGCTCGCTGCGCTCCAGCGTAAACGATTGCAGCGGGAACGCTGAAAGAATCTCCCAGCCGCGCACTGCGACATCGAGATGTACAAAGGCGGCGTTTGTAGCTACACTGGTGGGCTTGCTGACCTGACCGTCTGTATGCGAGCGGATGACGTAGGTTCCCTTTTCGGCACCGGGAAAAGCGTCGAGGGCGATGATTTCCGAGACGGGTTTGGGAGTGCAGTTGAAGATACCTAGGATAGACACGCCGGTGTGTGCTCTACCGACGTACGTGCTTACTTTAAGCAAGACAGCGTCGTCGTAGGCATTGTATGCCGAAGTGCTTTTGCCGACGGTGTGGGGACGCAGGATGACGGTGTCGCCGCGTGGGGTGTTACCCGTCATTTGAGAAATGAGGTTGATATCGTGGTGACCGGGGACGTCAGTGATATAGATGGGGCCGCCGGAGACGCAGCGGCCTGCGGCGTGAAAAGCGGCGTAGTCGTGGCTTGTTTGGAACATGTCCCAGTCTGGGAGGATGTTGAGGTATTGTGTGAGGAGCGAGTTGTGGGCGTTGCAGAAGATGTGCCAGGGGTGGCTGGCGGGGACTTCGGGGAAGAAGTCGTCCGAGTTGCGGAGGAGCATGCGGGGTTTGTTGGAGGGAAGTTGGGAGTGGAAGATTAAAGGGGGTGCTTGCGACATGCAGGATATTGCTCGGGCGGAGAAGTAGCGGAGTTGGGCGATGGACCAGGCGTCTTGGAAGGACTTGACTAGTTTGCGGCGGTCGTCTGCGTCTTGGAGTTCGTCGAGGAAGAATTGGGCGTCTGTCTTTACGGAGTCGACTCCGCAGGAAGATAGGAATTGGTAAAAGTCTTTGTAGAAGCGGTCGACGTCCTCTTCGGCAACTACTACGATCTCGCCACCCGAGACTCCGTCTTTGAGTTTGACGGTTGTCGTCTTGTACTCTTTTGCGATACGTCCTTCGGGGGCTACACCACCCCAGTAGCCGAACATGGCATGCCAGACTGCGACGTGTTTGATGTGCTTGTACTTGTCTCGGATATGGCCTACTGTAGCCTTGAGACCGCGGGGAAAGCCATTCTTGTTGGCTTCAAACTCCATCCATGCGTTGTCGAACTGGTCGCCACCTTCTGTGTTCAATGACTGCCAGTTGTCGTCGATGATAAGGTTGCTGATATTGATCTCGTTCTTTTGCAGAGATTCCAATGCGTCAAAGATTTTATCCTCTGTGAGTTTTTGACCCAGTCCATTCCAAGTACAGTATGACAATCCGTCGTACCAGTTCTCCAGCCATTGGGGCTTGAAGTCGTCGACCAGAGCCTTTGTCTCCTCATCAATTTGCCCAGTAGACTCTTCGTAAGCCATTACAAGCCTGCGTGCATAGTACATTGAGGCAGCAATTGCATCTTCCACATTCTTGCCAACCGTAGCAACAAGGCGAACAGTTCCATCCTTGTCGGCATCGTTTGTGGAATTCATTACGATATTTCCAGCGCCATCGTGATTGAGGGTAGTGAGAATATCCCCAACTCCACTGATTGCTAGAATCACCAAGTGTGACCCGTCATGTCGCTCAAATGCAGCCAAAATGGCCTCTTTGTCAGGCTGGAAGCGATCTTTGCCTTGTCTAGGTGCAATCCACGGAGCCCACAGGCGAATTGCCGCAAACCACCGAGAGAGGTTCGTGGGCTTGCCCAGTTTTTCGCGTGATTGACCAGGTGTTTTGCTAGAGGCTGCTCCGATTGGGTAGGAGATGTCCCATAGTTGAGTATTAGGTGTGTCACTTTGCTCCTTTGAGACAGTGAGAAATGGTGGAAGATTTTCAAGATACCATGTCAAGTTGTCATCCAATGGTTCTGATGACTGATAGATGAGATGGCCATCGGAAGTTGAGAAGTGCTCGTTTGCCCATTTCCATGGCTCCTCCTGTAATCGTCAATTGCGCCCTTGAAGAGGTAGTGAAGTTCATTCGTAATTTTGATATTTAACAAGCAACAGTGTCAGGTGACGGAGTGGATGATGATAACTTGTTCAAAACATACCTTTCCTGATCTGAAGGTAACAGTGTATGATACTGAAGAACCGTGCTTTGGGCGGCCCGTGAGTTCAAATGTAAAGCACTGACGTTTTAAATCGGTTCGGTGTGGGCTGACCGCCGTCTTGAGAATATCAGCTTTCTTGATGCATGTATGGCAGGACAACCGCTCATACCACAGTTGGCTCGAGGTTGGGCTCAAAGTTAGAGCTGGTCCATTGGTCCGAGGCGTGGAAATTATGCCATAAGGCGACTTCCCAGCTCTTTTCCGAGCCAACAGAGCTCTCAATGGCTACTGTGAACTTGACCTGACAGGACGTTAGAACCATTTCTAGCACCCAGAGCAGCCTTGAACTCACGGAATCTCTATCTGAAGCAATGGTCGTTGTCTGGCCCAACGGCGGATAACAGGTGAGTGAGGCATACATGGTGGCAAAACAGGGGGTTTCGTTACACGGGACAAGCAAAGCTCAAGGTGAGGTGTAAGAGTAAGCTGTGCTTAGTGTAGGATTGATAGAACAATAAGACACGATCAGGCAAAACAACTAGAGATGGAGGCAAAGAGGGTGAATTGATGTTTGATTGAGGTTGCAGCTAGGAGATCAACGGTGTACATGTAGGCACTAATTGTAGTAGCATCATGCGCAAGGGCAGTGCATGTGACGTGTGCGGATGTGGATGAAGGCGGATGCGGAGACGTCGGGGAAGCTGCAGGGAGCTGTGAGCTTCAGCCAATCGGCGTCGAGCTCGCTCCCGCTTGGCAAGCCGGAACATTTTTGACCTGGGGTCAGATGCGATGCGGTGCAATTGGCAGCCATGTCAACCTGGAGACAACTGTCCAGACCACGGCTCCTCGTGTGTCGACAATGCATACGGCAGCAGTCTATTTTGGCGCGCGGTGAGCGACCAGCAAAGAGGTGGGCGGACGAGGAATCAGATCCAGCAGCCAGACAAGCACAATGGGAAGAGCAAGCGGGCAGGATGCGAGCGGGGATGCAGCAGAGCATGCTGAGCATGCTTGAAGAGCGAGGATTTGTCAAGGATGTTGCTGGGTGAGCATGGCAAGGAGGAGACAGCCATGGCAGGACTATACTAAGAATTTACAGCGGACGCAAGGAGCTCAATTGGCTGCTCACAGAGAAGCGCATTGGTGTGTACGTTGGCGTAGACCCGACGGCACCCTCCCTGCACGTCGGCCATCTTCTCCCTCTGATGGCGCTGTACTGGATGTACCTGCATGGTTACTACACCGTGAGCCTGGTGAGCTCCCCGCGATCCGTCACGCACAATGGCTGTTAATCATGAGTTAGTTGGGTGGAGGCACTGTACAGATTGGAGATCCTTCTGGCAGAACGACAGCACGCTCACGCCAGGCGGAGAACGTGCAATTCATGAACGTAGAGAGCATCCAGCGACAGCTTGAGAAGTTGTGGACCAATGTCAAGTGCCTAGGTATCAAGCACCAGTTCTCGCAGATGACGAGCCGGAAGCAAGATATTCTCAACAACCGCAAATGGCTCGAGAAGCTCAGCGCAGTGGAACTGATGAGGGACTTGGGCTCGGGCATGCGCCTGGGCGCTATGCTCAGTCGCGATTCGTAAGTCCCAACCGACCGTTGTACAGACTTGCTTTCTCACACGTGCATTAGAGTCAAGCTCCGAATGGAAAGCGGCGAAGGCATGGCCATATCCGAATTCAGCTACCCTCTCTTTCAAGCATACGACTGGTGGAGCATGTACAAGAACCAGGGTGTTCAGCTCCAAATCGGTGGCTCTGATCAGTATGGCAACATTATTGCAGGTATGGGCGCTGTTAGCCATATGCGCAAGATATATGGCATGGACAACGGAGCAGCAGAAGAGGATCCACGTGTAGCGACATACGGACTGACGACACCATTACTTACGACCGCTTCTGGCGAGAAGTTTGGCAAGAGTGCTGGCAATGCTGTCTGGCTTGATGGCCAAATGCTAAACTCGTTTGACCTCTACCAGGTACTTACACTCAGTACTTTGACACTAAATGGACTCCTCAACTAACTCGTATTACAGTACTTTATGCGCACCGCGGATACCGACGTAGAGCGCTACCTCAAACTCTTCACCTTCCTCCCCCTCGACTCCATCAAGCTGCTCATGTCCCAGCAATCCCAAGACCCTTCCAAGCGCCTGGCCCAGCACATTCTCGCCCGCGAAATCGTCGAGCTAGCCCACGGCGCTGCCGCAGCAAAGAAAGCAGAGGCAGCCCACAAAGACGCCTTCGGCCAAGGCACAAACACCTTCTCGCTCCTCTCCCTCCGAACCGCCATTTCCAACAGCAAGGGTACCGACGCCTCATCTCCATCATCGTTGGACGCCGAGCCATCACTCAGCGCAAAAGAACAAGAGCTCCTAGAATACAAGCAGACCTACGCGAGCACCAGCTCACCGGCCCAACCCATCGGAGCAACACCTCCGCCCCCCAAGCCCTCGGACAATAACAACCACATCGTCACCCTACCCCTGTCCATGCTCGCCCCAGGTTCCTTCCCTCACATCCTCCACGCCGCAGGCCTCGCCGCTTCACGCTCAGAAGCCAGCCGGCTCATTGCGAAAAAGGGTGCCTATGTCATCGTGCCCAACTCGGGCACAGTTGATAACCCCACTGCCCTCAAATGGGCGACCATCGAACCCGGCAAAGAGGTCGACCCGAATCACTATTTGGTGGACTGGGAGGCCCTCGTTTTGCGCGCGGGAAAGGCTAAGATTCAGATTTGTAGAATTGTCCGTGATTGATTTGAGCGGGGGAAACAATAGGGCATGAACGAGGATGTCTTTTTTTTCTTAAGCTTTAGGGCCAAAGTTTTAACTATATGTTACTTCATTCTGGTTTTGTTTGGAGGAAACGACCAAGTAATATAGAATGTGAATAAGGGTAGAAAACAATGCACTAGTTCTCCCCTCCGCCCTTTCTGATCTAATTTGCTTGATTGATTTGCCACACTCCCCCCGGCAAACTAATACCAAGGTGCCTTGTTTATTTGAATCATGTACGGGGAAACCGGCTAGTGTTATAGTAAGGATGATATGATTACACAAGTACTAATATCGTATCACCTCTCTTTCATGCTTTGTTGCTTACCCTAGCATCTGTGTATCCCCATCGCAGCTCCCCTCGCTCGCTTCTTTGAGATGGTTGGTGCGTCTGTCTGTCAGACTGAGCTTTGCGGATCCACATGTCGTGTGCGTATTCCGCGGCTCGTATGGGGAGTGTGACTTGGGTGCTGGAATCGTGTTCCGATGCCGATTTTACAGGGGGATTCCTGGGCACCACCTCCGCTACTACCACGTTGTGCGTGGTGAGAAGTAATATCATTAGGAGGAGTGGCGTTTTCCTTGGAGGACACGTAGAGAGATTTGGTGGGAGATGCAGCACTGTGTAAGTTACGGGAAGAATGGTAGCGCGATGGGCCGCGCTCGATGCAGACATTTGGGCTTAGAGGGCTGAGCTCGAGGTCGGGATCAGGGGACAAGACTTGATTGTTAGCATCACGAGGACGCGAATGAAGTGGTGTTGTGGGGTGGATGGTAGACTCTGTGCGAGTATGGAAGACATCGCGTATGGTGACGGTGTTTGCTGAAGGTGCTTCTAGCGCCTCTTGACCGCTTCTCGAAGCTGTTTCACTGAAATTCGAGGACGAGCGCTGACAGAATTGGGGCCTGGAATACGTATTTGGTTGGGGAGGCTTGGCGTAAGGTTCATGGCCGTTTGGCGTTGAAACACCAGTGAGCCACTTGGAGATGTGGTCATCAAGTACAGAGGCGCGGATAGACTTTGGGTTGGGTTTACTACGCGAGCCTGGAATCAGGTAGCCGGAATCGTCGGACCAGGACTCAGAACTCTGTTGCGACGTTTTTGCGAAACCTGGCCGAGGGCTTGGTAACAACGTCGTTGGTATGCATAGAGACTCTAGTCGGCGAACGGGGGAGGTGGCTTGCTGCGAATGGTTGTGCACGTGGCCACATCGAGCTAGCGGCGACGATGCTTTTGCTGAAATGTTTGGCAACTGTGGGTATGGCAAATGTGCCGGCTGCAGTGTTTGCTGTTCATGGCTAGCATCTTCAAAAAGCTGCCTCATGCGGGCGGCGTGGCCAGCACGCGCAGGAGACTGAAGCAGTCGTGAGCCGTGGTGGGAGCGACGAATGCGGACATTAGCTAACCCCAAGGGCGAGACGGGCCTAGGGCGTGACTCTGCTGGCTTCAGAGGTGGTGTATTGTGAAGGGCATTTGGGTAATTTGCGGAGTCGTGGTGCAAACACGGATGTGCATATGCGCGATTCGGTGAAGCAACAGCTGCATCGAGAGAGGATTCCGCGCTATCGTTTCGCAAGGGCCGAGTTCTGAAGCGGTCGGCGGGTGTTACAGGTGTGCTGATGTTATCAGTGTCAGTGCCAGTGAGACTGACTGCGTCTACTACTGCAATTGCCTGTGGTAAAGTTAAAGAGGCTAGCAGAGGATGTGAGGCTGGTGGGTAGAGGTTCTATGACGAACTTGCGACGATGAGGCCATGGTGGATGATGGGTTAGTAGTCAGCAGCAGCATTCGTGGGATTTTTTTTCGTGTCAACGGCAAACGTCTCGTGGGGGTTCGGTTACATGAGAGATGACTCGGACTCGACATGAGCCGTGGGACACGGCATGATGGCTGATCAAGGGCGGTGCATGGTGCCACCGCCCGTCGTGCCTGCTTACGGGACACAGTGGCCAGGCCTGTGGTTGTTGTTGCTAATATTGTTGTTGCAACTGCTACCAGTGCTGTGGAACAGGCGCGTACATGGTATTCTTCACAACGCGGCACTCGCGAGTGGTAGGCCATAAGCATTTGATCGCCGTGACGCTGCTGGGGTTTGAGTGGTGATAGTGATAGTGTTGGATGACGTCGTACTAGGGCACACGGTGCAACTAGCCACGGCAAAGACGGGCGTGGCTGTTTGTTTTTTTAGCGACGCCGGAATCAATAGTGTCACCATTTCTTTTGTCTTGTATCGCAGTTTTCTTTGCGTTGCCGCGTAGTAGTAGTAGTAGTAGTAGATGGAGACAATCTCTTTGCCGCGTCACGTGCACCCGCCTGCATGTCACTAAGGCGAGCCAGAACGGGCGGGGACTAAGCACGGGGCATTCGATACTTTACGTGCCATATGCCATGTAGTATGCCATGGACCTCGCATTGATTGCAGCCCGCATACAATATGACAACATGCTCAGTCTTGTTCTTGGCTGCTCCCCCAATACAATGGCTCCTTGAATCGTCTGACCTGTCAACCAACGTGTGCGCCGAGCGGGACACCACTACTACTAGCAACCTAGTATTAACGCAGTGTTCACACGATCGAAGGGCTTGCAGTAAGGCTTGGTGACACCTGCAGCGGCCGCATCGGCTGGCACCAAAACAGCGCCTTCCGAGGCGATAGAGCCCAAAGGGCCGTCTTGGCTGAAGATGATTGTCGAGACCGATTCTTGGGCTTGGTTGGCTGGACGGTCAGACAATGCTACTAGTGGACGCGCCATTGCGGCAGTTGTCTATACTATACGCGTATACTCTGCAGGTACAGGGTCCCCAACCACCATCACCACCACCGCCACCACCACCATAACAACAACAAGAAGACACAACAACAACAACCACAACACCCGCCAGTCCCTAAGGGCCCAAAATACGGCAATGGTTCCGTGCCAGCCTCGTGAACCAGGGCTACTACACAGCAAAGGCTTAGCGCCATCTCGCGGCTTACGCCCGCGGGCTATCTGGACCTACTATCATTATTATTATCTCTGGCCCATCGTCATCTTCTATGGCCCATCCTCGGGAACCCTCGCCACCTCATTCCCTAGACGGGAGGGTGTGCGCTCGTGCCTGTCGCACCATGCTGCACCCCGTCGCCAGTGACGACTCCGAGACCCCTGAGGCGACCGCGGATGCAGTGGCGTCTTCGCTTCCTGCACCACACTTCTTCTAGTCAGTGCGCCCAAACTCTGAACCATGCCAACCTTGCCTGTCCCACCCGCAGCCCTGGTTGCTTTCCCACCCCCCTCCGCTGCCAAAGTCTCCGTAGTCGCGAGACACACCGTCGCTGCCTCGACTGCCTCGCCTCGTCCCTTCTTGTCCACCCTCACTTTTTCCATTCACCCCGGGCCTCACTCTCCGTCCATTCCCGCGAGCTCGACGCTCATTCAACTACCAGGCCCCCAGCCATCTCCCTGTGAACTCGATTGATTCTACCTTTTTTCTTTTTCTTTTTCTTTTTTTTTTTCGTTCGTGCCGTTGCGAAGCTTAGCTTCCGCATTTATCACCTGTACATACAACCTATATGCATGCTTCTTATATTAGCCTAACGGCCTGCCCACCACCACCACTTTTGCGCGCCCACCCCATGACCAGTCACCAAGAACACCATCTTCGCATCCCCATTGCCTAGACTGCGGACTGCGCTCGTCCGACCACCTCTCACGGTACGTACATGGATTTTTCCCCTCTTGAAACCCGGTTGGGATCAGCGCCACGCGCCTGCAACGGACAACGTCACATCGTCTTGTGCCTGCCTGCCTGGGCTTCCGCCGTGTTCGTATTAGGCTTGCGAAGCCTGGAATGCATGGACTTGCTGTTCATAGCAGCCCTGTTGTACTTTGCATTATCGTCGACTTTCTTGTTTGCGCCGCCCTGGCAGGCCTGCTTGAGTATCATTTCTCATGCGAGCAGCCTCTTCTGACTTGCATTCCTCTAGGCCTGTCGATGTCTGATACAGGGCATTCTTCCATCGTGCCAATCCTAAAGTCTCTGTCTCACTAAGCCTTCTGGTAACCGGCTATCTGCTGGGCAAGGATTCGCGACCTTCGACTGTCTCGAATCGTTCGTTCTCGTTCCCACCTGTCACCTTCATCCACCATCGTACCGGGCTATTTCGCGAACTTGCCTGGACCATTATTCAAACAGCAAGTATTCCGACTGACCATTGTGCATCTTACATGTTCGCACTGGCCATTGGCCGTCCTGCCGCAGTTGCATATGCCTCAGTCGTCGCGTAGCCATACCTGTAACCAACTCCTTTCAGAACTCGACGGTCCCTCTGAACTACCGTCATCGCCTTTACTTACTTTCACTCCTCTCTATCCCAGCCCGGGAGCTTCGCGTTGCGCATCGTCGATCCACAGCAGGCCAGTGTCGATTGACACACCCACCGTCAGCATTTCCACGTTCAATTCATGAGTTACGACCCGAGGTTGGGCGCCGGAGCATACCGTGCGACGGACCCAGAAAGAGATGGAGATTCGAAGCCGGGCTCAGTACGGGCAGCTCGGGAAAGGATGCAGGCCGAGCAAAAGAGGACGCAGCTCCCAGACACTTCAAAGATCATCGGTCTCCCTCGCCGACCCAACCAACTCGTCTCGCAATATTCTCAGGGGAAGGCTGGGCCATCGCCAATAAGGGTTGTGCCAGACACCAGAAACGAGATAGAGTCGAGCTCTCCATCACCACAATGGCCCCTCCCTAGCAGAACCGAGAGGGTAGATCCCCCTCCTGACATTCCGCTACGTTCGCCCAAAAGGATCCGGGCACCACGACAAGACCCTCGCCCCCTGTCCGAAGACTTTCCAATTCAGCAATTATCACCAGACATGGGCTCTCCGCTTTCCCTAGGCTACTCACAACGCAACGACAACCTCTCGCCAGGTTCTTTTCAGTCTTCATCTCGTCCAATCACCACGTCATCTATCGCGTCCGATTCCTCGATTGGATCCATACCCGATTTCCCCGTCCCCCAACCGCCCATGCCAAACATACAACAAGCTCGACGATTTCCAAGTATAGGCCCGCCACCCTCTGCGCGAAGAGGACCTTCATCATATTACACACAAATGTCCTATGTATCACCCATCGTCGAGGAATCGGAGTCCCATTCTACAGCAATTCAGTCGCAACGAGGTTCTTTTGCATCGAGCAATGTGTTTCCAAGCAACGCAGATGCCTTCTACCCAGACGACGACCCCTTTTCCGACGAAGAAGGAACTATTGATAGCAACATGGACACCCTTTCAGTCAGCGAGCATGACGACCAAAGGGGCCTTGTCCAGCCGTCACCAGGTCTTGTGCGGCAAGCCAGTCTGGGTAGACGTACCAAGCCATCGCTTATGACTATCAGATCTGTGGAACCTTCCGGTGACAAGAAGAATGGCCTGAATAAACCAAGGACGGGTGCTTCCGGAATCGCTGCAATGGGACTGGGAGCAGCAGCGTTTTCATCAAGAGATGGTTCTCCTGGAAGGGCTAGGTCGCCTTTGAGCAGGTCGACTTCGTCAGAATCTACAAGCACGATACAAACATTCAGAATGAAGTCCGCAGTCGGAGGAACCTCGTCGCCGCTTCAACAAGAACTACGCCCAATCGCACTGGGGGACCGCGCTGCCACACGACGGCCTCCGAGACTCGACATGGATGCTGTTCGTGACGCTGAGGCGCGTGGTAGTCTAACAAGTTTGCCAGATCTGATTCGGAGAGCGACACGACTCGCGTCTAATCTCGACCGTGGACGCACAGCTAGTCGACTGGGCATAGACTTTTGGGAAAGTGGCGCCCCTGAAAAGAACAATGGGCGCCAGTCTGGTCTGTCTGAAATGCTTGCAGCATTTCCTCCACCTGGCCAGGAAACCCCAGTTCGTTCAGGTTGGGCTACTCCAAACGCCAGCAATGGTGGCAACTCTGATTGGCCTTCGGCCAGAAACTCAGACCGCGCCTTCGTAAACAATGATACTAAAAACGAGAAACCGGAGAAGCGCCGGAGATGTTGTGGCATGCCACTATGGACATTTATTACACTTTTGATTGTTTTGCTTTTCATCATCGCTGCAGCAGTCGTCATCCCCGTTGTCTTGGTCGTCATCCCCAACCAGAACAGGGCGGCTAGTAGCAGCGCTGCTCAAGATAATACAGGAAGCAACAATGGTAACGGTGGTGCAAGTACCACAAACGGTGCGGCCATTCCAGCTCCGACAGCCGGCGCAGGCGATAGTCAGTGTTCTGGTGTCATCACCTGTCAAAACGAAGGCGTTGCAATACTCAACGCGGACATGTCATGCAGCTGCATCTGCATCAACGGCTTTACAGGACGCACGTGCACCAACAACGATGCCACTGGATGCACAACCACCAGTATTGCGGGTACGGCGAACAACGCTACCATGGGCTCCGGTATTCCGCGCCTGATGGAAGAAGCCCCAACTAACTTTAACGTGCCCCTAAATGCAACTCTTATCCTGTCATTGTTCTCAACTCTTTCTCTGAGCTGCGCAGCTGAGAACGCATTGATAACATTCAACGGCCTGGCTTCTCGATCTGTACCCCGGCACCTGCACTCCATGGATTTGCGGACGACGTTCCATCCTTCACGGACACTGACAGCTCTCCATCACCCCCGCCCTGCGCAAATCCCAGGTCAGCAAGTCAAGCGTCAGACGGTCGGCCAGAGTAGGCAGAACGGAGTTTCTGGCAACCAGAACTCGGGTGGCACAAATGCTTTGATCGCGCAGCCCATCTCTAGCAATGTCGATGCGCTTGACCTTGGCCGTATTGCTGTTCTACTTGCGCTTCAGGAAAGCCGTAGTCTAGACGTTGCTGCCAACGCACAGGAATCCATACAGACCCTACTCACCGACAATCGTAACGGCAATGCTAAATCTGGAACCGTCGATGTCGGCCCTTTCGAACTGAACATGGTGGATTTCACCATCAAGTTTGGAAATGGAACTACGATACAGGCGAAACCCTCCTCCACATCCACCTCTTGAGCATCGTGACTCAATGCCTGCTCTTTCTCAATATTTTGCGTTATCTGCTAAGCGATACCCTTTTTTTGCGTTTTCAATCCAACCTACCGACCAACCCTCTATTTTCTTTCTTGTCAAATCCCGTGTAACAACATCTGGGCCAGTGCGCCTACGGCAGCACACAACTGGCCTTCTTCTTCATCTACTGTCCTTAAAAACGTTTCCCCATATACCCGTCCTGTGGACGTTTGTCATGACCCTTGGACTGGATCTAATGTTTTTGTACCACTGGATATACCCAAAGATGAAGTTGCAAAAAGCAGTCTTGATCTAGTAGCATAGGAAGGATTTTTAAGTAGCATACTGCATTGAATACAAACTCCAATTGGAAAAGTTGTACAAACAATAAAGGCCTCTCTGCACAGTGTTTGTTTTCTGTGTGTGAAACTATGAGACAGGGAGATGGCCAAGAAATCATAGTCGCCCAGTGCCAAAACTCAGCCATCTTGTTTCGACATGAACACATGAGCATACGTACAACTCTTCATCCTTGAATGGACACGCAGTTTAGGCATCAATACAATTCTTGAATATGCTATCCCGTGGGGTATATAGGTGTGGGGAAAATGGTGGTTGTCACTGATGGATTTGATTCAACTACACGACAGTATTGTACCAAGTGATTTGATACAATTCTATAAAAACATCTCATTGGCTGATTTTATATAACTCAACACCAATCTCACCAAACATGTGGCCAGCCAAAATCATACCGGCCTTGTTTAGTGCCTTGCTATGGCAAGCTATTCTTCCGCCCGCTCACGTGGTCGATGTCGTTGAGGTCACTACTCTTGTCGTTCAAGTAACTCGAGTCTATTCTACTATCACAGTCACTCAGACAGTCGGGAGTAAGTCACAACTTATCGTCTTCATAGCACTAGTAATGATACTGACTAAATGGCTAATTCAGCCCCTACCACCGCCATCGATCATGCGCTTCCTATAACTACTTCTACTCCTCTGCCTCCTGCTGCTCGTCCTATGCTCGGCCCATACAACTACCCGCCATCTAACGAATCCCTCGCTCATGACCAAACTTCCAGCACTTCATTGGTGTTAGAAGAATGCGTCTACCTGCTCTCCTCGCTCGCCGTCCCGCAATACTCCGTTCTGGACATGATCATAGGCATCTTCATGGCGACTAGCTTGGTCTTATTCGTTTGGAAAATTCTAATTCCCTTGATCAAACTTCGAATTCGCAACTTGATAAGGATTTGGCCTCGTACGATGGAATTCTTTTGCATCACTGTACAAGTTATCTTTGGCCTCGACGAAGAGGATGTATTGTGGGCCGCCTGGATGACGTGCTACAAGTACTTTCTGGGATGCATCTTGAGAGCTCTCTGCGAGGTTGACCAGTCTGTCCGAATGCTTTTTGGGTACATCCAGATCACGAAGCTCTCGATTCAAGTGGTTTGCATGCGTTGCGTTATCTTCGCTTTCCAGATATTTGGAGTTGATCTGAAGAAGGGCAAGCCCAATGGATGGTCTTATAAAACTTGGAAAGCCTATGTTGAAGCAGACTGCTGATCTACTGCTAAGACTAAGGGTAACGGAAGAGCGTCTCGCGCAAGCACAAAGTCAGTCCAAACCGGTCCTATATCAAGACTCTCCCAACAGTCTCATGCTTGGCAACAAGTGCGTCGGCTATCGAAGTACTATCATGGAACTTGTCCATGATAACAACTACTTCCGCCTCGTGCTCTGCAGTATGCTGAACGCACACTACAATATCGCCAACGGCAAGCAGCCCAATGCACTCGATGGCGATCATCCATACCGGACCACCCTCATCAAGTTCAATCCAGTCGCCGACAAGAAGACTGGTCTCTACATCGGCTACAAGGGGGGCACACTTCGGAGAGAGGATACACTGAACAAAGTGTACTGCGTCAACGTGGAATCACTCGCAAAACGCATTGAACACGAGCCTCACCGCATGGCCGCCATCCTCCAGCGCTGAAGCTATACTTTCCCCAATAAAGTCCCCATTGGATTCGACCCCTTCCTTAAAGACCACTATGTCTTCTCTGGGGTAATCCCTGGCTTGAACATGCCGCGATACAAAGAAATGAAGAATCCCTTTGACATCTCCGCTAAGCGACCTAAACCTATCGAAAACCCTGGAGCCTCTTCGGGCCGCAAATCGAAGACTTTGCAGCTCAGGGCCGGCTGAAGTCATGGAGATCCAGCGGAAATGCTCATGCTACACTGAAACCTAAACCTACGTCGACACAACCCAATGCTTCGCCGGAAGATCCCACAGCTACATCTTTCCAGTGCATGGAGCTCGTCAAATACGTCGCCGAGATAAATTTGGGACCTATATCATTCAAGAGGTGCGTCCATTTCGCTGCGTACAAAATGCCCCCGCGCGAGGACGCCTCTGCATAGAAGCATCTCATTCCCCAGTCCACACAAGAAAACCTTTTGCCTACACGACGTCCCCTTCTTTTTCCGATACAGCAGGTATAGTCCCTTGCGGTGCCTGAGCCGCTGAAAAACCTGGGTTCGTCCTGGGGAGTAAAGCTCCGTTCTGTAAGGAAAGAGGGATGTCTCTTATTTTGTCTGATGCAGCAGGTATAGTCCCTTGCGGTATCTGAGTTGCTGGAACCTGGGTTTGCCCTGGGGGAAGGGACCGTTCTGTAAGGATGGAGGATATGGCATGAGTGGAGCATGGGGGGCTTTGGGATTGGGGGATGTGCGGGGGGGTGCTTCCTTATGATGAGTGGACTTGAGGGTGAATCGTGTGCACGGCGGAGCTTGGGGTTTTCTTTCTACTACTCTCTTCTTCCTTATGGGCGTGCTTGTGTTGGCTGTCTTCTTGTTTTGGGGTGTTCTTTATGATTGCGATTTGCTCTTCTTGATTTCTGGCCTGCTATTCCTGGTTTTAGTTTGCTCTTTCTAGTGGAGGGGTAGGTTGATAACGGGGTCATATCTTCACATGTTTATTGGAGGTACTTAGAGAGTGAATTCCAAATCAGAGCTTTTTTGCTTGCATATATCCCATGTTTCAAGCGATGGACGAAAGACGAACACCATGTTTCTTGACTTGCTGTTCAGTACGGAATAGAGACGGCACCATTGTTTTCAAAATGGTCACGTGCGTATTGACATAGATGTGGTCTGCAGATGAGATGGCCTGCATATTAGTACGCTTGAGTAATTCGACTTGGTAGGTGTTCAAAGCAGGTGCCAACAATGGCGTTGGCGATCAGGGCAGGGCTGTCCTACGTACCCCGCCATGCCCCACCTACGCAATGCCGCCAATTGCCTGTTCCTGAGCTACCAATTGACACGACAACAGCCACACCCCCTCCACGCCACGCCTACTACCGCTGCATCCTCACAACCTCTCCAATTCTCCAAATATGCCTCAGGAAGCCTCCAAGGTATCCGATCCCGAAGCCGACGCCAAAGCAGCCGCCGAAGCAGTCGCCGAATCGAGCAAACAAGTAGAGGCCGAGTCTGCAAACGAAAGTGGCGATGAGGAGACCGGAACAGCGGAAGGGGCCGAGGGTGCAGCTGGAAAGAAGAAAAAGAGCACGAAGAACAAGATAAAGGATGCGCTCAGTGGCAAGGGAAAGGCGGGCGAGGTCACGGATTTGAACGCGCCCGCTGGAGGAATTCTGCCCAAGGAAGCTATGAACATGCTGCTCGCAAACAACCCTGCGCTTGCGAATGAACTCCAGGGCAAGGTGAACAATAAGGAGGATCTGCAAAAGCTGCTCCAAACGCTCAACCTCAACGAGATGCTCACAGGGCTCGCACCACAAGGTAGCCAAAAAGACATGGCTAGTCACGCGTTCTGGAAGACACAGCCTGTTCCCAGCTTCGACGAGATGGCAAATAAGGACAAGATCAAGGACGGGCCAATCAAAGAGATTGACATTGAAAAAGTCGATAAAAACCCAAGCCCCATGTACCCCGGCTTTGAATGGGTGACTATGGATTTGGAACAAGAGAAGCAGCTGGAAGAAGTCTACGAGCTGCTCACCAACCACTACGTCGAGGACAAGGATGCAACTTTCCGCTTCAAATACTCGCCGTCGTTCTTGAACTGGTAGGAGTGTTGCAACAGTAGAAAACAAACTCAAGCTAACAACCATAGGGCTCTAAAGGCACCCGGTTGGAAGAAGGAATGGCACGTTGGTGTTCGCGCAACCGCCTCAGGCAAGCTGGTTGCATTCATCTCCGGCATCCCGATACAGATGCGAGTACGCGATAAGGTTCTCAACTGCTCCGAAGTCAACTTCCTATGCGTCCACAAGAAGCTCCGTTCAAAGCGGTTAGCACCCGTACTCATCAAGGAAATCACCCGCCGCTGCTACGTTGAAGGTACATTCCAGGCTGTATACACTGTTGGGTCCTTATTACCTACCCCCGTTTCAACCGCCAGATATTTCCATCGCGCCATCAACTGGGAAAAGCTGTATGATGTTGGCTTCTCTCCCCTACCCCACGGTAGCACCAAACAACGCCAGATCATCCGGTACAAGTTGCCAGACACCACATCTACCCCCGGACTTCGCGAAATGGAGGCCAAGGATGTTGACGCAACTCTCAATCTCCTGCAGCGATATCTTGAGCGCATGGACATGGCGCAAGTATTCGATAAAACCGAGTTCGAGCACTGGATGGCGCCAAAAGAGAAGCCCAAGGAGCAGGTCGTGTGGAGTTACGTCGTCGAGGACCCCGACACTCACAAGATCACAGACTACTTCTCCTTCTACAATCTTGAGAGTACCGTCATTGGCAATAAGAAGCACGACACCATCAAGGCGGCGTACCTCTTCTACTATGGTACTGAGGTTGCGTTTGAGAAAGACAATGCAGAGTTGAAGAAACGGTTGAACTTGCTAATGAAGGACGCGCTCATCCTGGCAAAGAAGGTAAGCATGCTGATGTTGCACAACTTGGATGGCCAGTTAACAGGGGTAGGCTGATTTCGACGTCTTCAACGCCCTCACACTACTAGATAACCCACTGTTCCTGGAAGAGCAACGCTTCGGTGCTGGAGACGGATCATTACACTACTATTTCTACAACTATCGTGCTGCGCCGATTCCTGGCGGCATCGACTCCAGAAACCAGGCGAGCAAGGATCATATGGGTGGCATTGGATTAGTTATGCTGTAACCGCTCAGTGAGCCAGTACGTCAGAAGGATCCCAGTCTGCTCCAAGAAGGAGTTGGTGGTATGCGACACCCAAGTTGACGATACTATGCACGTATGTTGTCTTTCTTAAAATTTGGCTGCGCAGTCGCCATGTAGTTGATACCAGTTTTCTGATCCATCTGTGCCTTCTTCATCATTTATGTCCTATTTGCAAGCAACACCAAAGCAATGACCTTTGTCCAGTCACAACTAGAGTGAAGCAGGGATGGCATACGTGTGTCTTGGTAGCTACGATTTACGAGCAACTCTGTCATTGCATGCCCCAAGCCATAGCTGGAGGAGTGTCACTCATGGTGACTCGCAGTTTCTACACTTGCTATTGGGCATCGGTGTCGTATGGTCAGCCTGAATAGTAGGGCCGTAGTTCTGCCGCTTGTATGACACTGCCATTCGATAAGTGCAACTGCGCCTGTCCGCGGTTGGGAGCCCCTTCCCACTCTAGCTACAGTCTCTCTGATTCACCTGTTCTGCCTTTGGCGGCCAAGGGCCACTTGTCTACTCTCCACTCCACTTCACCGCCCGCTACATGGTGCAACGCCCAACCCTTGCCAATCGAGACGCCAACAGCAAGTGAATCTGGATTGGCTTATGTAACATCATCTACAAAACTACTCATTATTTATCCTCACTCAAAAATACTTTTGGTCTTGACTCACTGCTTACCACACTCTTGTTCTACCAAGCCCCGACTCTGGCTTACAACTCTGACCTCCCACCCGCCAGTCCATACTGCTATAGGCACGTTCTTATCATCGACCCTTGTTGTCAACATAGACTACCATATAATGGATCGGCATGACAGCGGCAAACCGGGATGTGATTCCGAACATGTCTTGGACAAGACGGTATCGAATGCGGCTAAGGCTGACTTTGAGGGTGCGTGTGCATCACCTGCGGCGAATCGCCCGTACGGACACAACGAAGTCATCGATGAAGAGCCCGAGGTGCAGAAGCAGGCAGGCCAGGGGTGTGAGAAAGAGCAGGCGAAATGTAGCTCACCCGCAAGTCTGTCGACAGTGAGCGCATCTCTATCTACAGTGAGCGCATCAAGTGAATCGCAAAAGCAGGGTGTCTCGGAAACGGAAACGAGCAATGCTAGAGTAGTGACCTACGCAACGGAGACGGCATGTGGATGTGTCACTCTAAGAAATTTTTCGGAATTCGCCCTTCATATCAAGAACCTCCGGTGTCGACTATGTAGGGAGCTGCGCTTTTCATCGGAACTCGATATCTGCACCATGTTTCAAAACTGGATGGATGAGACAGTCGACACTTTGTCATGTATAGTCAAATGCAGCACTTGTGGATTGAATTCTTGCATCGCCTGCAAGCCAGAATCCTATTCCAAACTTTCCAAGATTAAGATTGTTCAAGAAGAACAAAGCGTCACCTGGTGTTGCGTTGCTGGCCGGCTATATCTTATATGGATGTTGCTTTGCGGCTTCGATCAGCATCTGTCAGGGTCTGGGAAGATGGACAAGACTGCAGAACCGGCGAACTTTGATCGAAACCCCAAACATTCCCACCATGGCAAGGCAGTTAAGAAGAACACATATGGCACTTGCATAGGGTATGAAGACGCTCTCTCACATTTGCATGGTGACACAGACGCCGCCTACGACGAATCTGAGCATTTAGAGCCTCCCGATGAAATTTCGAGCTTAGAACACTACGAGAATTGGTCGAAGCAAATGAAAAAATTTGGCTTTTTCCAGATAGCTGATCATCCCCCAGAACCTGGCCATTTTCAGAGTCAGGCAAATTCCCCTTCATCTCCAAGAAAGGACGAAGTTAGTATATCAAATGCGAGGAAAGCAGAGGCTAGCGAGGATAAGTTCGCCAGTCTGATACTCGGTTTTTTGACAGACCTTCTCCCATCACTAGAGATAAATACTTGCTTCGACCGCGATCCGCCTGTCACAGTTCTTGAGATGCTCACAACTGGCAGGATCCTCCATCATTGCGCAGGACTCTTACGGAACGATTCTCTGGCCGATTTCACGAAACGCAAGAATCTTTACTGGAGTTTGTTCAGATTTCTTAAAACACTTGACTCGCACCCCAGTACTCGCAAAGCTCTGTTTGATGCTCGTTCCACATATCCTGAAAATGTCGACTTCCTTGCGCTATCCTTCTGCACTACAGTTCCTATTCTGCCGCCTACAGAGTCAGAATCACCACCGCCACATCGTCCAGATATACAAGCTCCAACGCCAATACAACCAGTTCATCCACCATCATTTGTATCACAGCATTCGACCATGCAGGGGCCTCCCGATCACTATCCTGGTCCAGGCGATCCGCCAAGTGCAAGCCCGGTTTATAATTTGCATGAGACGATGCCTAGCGGTTCAGGTGCTTCTGTTCCGCCGCAGCCTTTCACCAACCCTCCGCTCGGTCCTGTGATGGGTTATTTCCCTTGCCCACCAAGCAGTACAGGTGCTCCCGGTACAAGTGTTTCCCGTCTGCCACTGCCATGTATCAATCCTTCATCTGTCAACCCTCCAGGCCCTGTAATTGGGTCTTTCCCGTGTCCACCACGCAGTACAGGTGCTCCAGGTACATCCCAATCCTTCATCAATTCCCCGCCTGGCCCTGTGATAGGAACATTCTCATGCCCACCAAACTCCAACACGAGGTTAGCTACTCGGGGCCGTGGTGGTAGCGGTAGTAGCAGTCCAAGTACGAGAGGTGGCTCAAGTCAAGCACCCTATTTTACTCCATCTAGTCGTTGCAGAGGTACTGCTAGCCCCGGTCATTTTTCTGGAGGCTTACCAAACCTTGTTCTCCCGGAATCGATGCATGGAGGACGGGGCCGTGGAACTAGCGAGCAGGGAAGTCGAGGCGGGCGCGGCGATGGAGCACCTGGGAATTAAAAAAGAAAGGTGCTAGATACTTCTTTGTATTCTTGTTTTTAACTTTCTTTCTGCAGAGCAGTAGCACTTTTAGTGTAGTTGAGGGTATGCCCAATGACAGTTAGCATTGTTTTCCACGTGGAATATATGTCCACGGTGTCTGCATAGGCGTGAATCATCTGACGAATTGAAATAGTGATCCAAAACCACGGGCTGTGCACCTTGTCGTATATGTAAAGAGCCAAGTCGTCGTCCTTCCTTGAATCGTCGTAAGTATCATGATATAATCGTTCATCTCCGAATCTTGCTCACAACACATCCACATTCCTCAACCCCAACAGTCCATCCTCATAATCATTATCATACAAAAATTATCCTACACATATCATACACTCCCCTCTCCCCCTACTACCTCTCCTTCCCCTCCCCACCGTCCTCCTCCTCCTCCTCCCTAACCCTCACCTCCCCTGCCTGCACAATCATCTGCGAAATCGAATTCGGCATATCCTCCTCGCTCTCATAAATCCGCTCATACCCCAACCGTCCTCTCAACACCTTCCTCGCCTCTGTCAAATTCGAAATATCAGCCACCCACATCACGCCACCCAGCGCCATTATCCCCACGCTAGCACAGTTCATGGTGGCGAGGTTAAACGCCTGGCACGCGTCGGCGAAGGGGCTGAAGTACTCGTGCGGGTTGGTGTTCGGAGCGAAGTAGGAGGGGGTGAGGCGGAGGTGGCGTCGGTGGATGGCGCGCCGGGTTAGAGTTGTGGAGAGGAGGAGGCAGGTGCTGCCGAGGAGGTAGATGGAGAGTTGGTGGAGGGAGCGGGGCGATGTTATGGCGGGTCGTTGGTATGTGGTTGGTTCAGTGGGAGGTTGTGGGGAGGGAAGAGGGTTGGAGGGCGCGGAGGGAGGAGGAGGCGGTGGAGTTTGTGCGACAGGTGGGCGCATCATGCTTCGGATGATTGGGAGGTTTTTTAGGTTTTCCATTGTGTATAGCGGTGCGAAGTGGAAGATGTAGGTGGGTGGTGTTGGTTTAGTGGTGCATTTCCGAGGTGCGTTGCGGACTCCCGAGGTGGGTTGTGGGGTTGGATGAGTGGGTTCGGGTTTGGTCGGTGATCGAACGATTGAAGTCTTGGAAAGAAGGATGTTGGTATGATTTGGGTTTCCAAATGAGTGCGGAGGTTCCAGAGCAATGGCGCGGGGAGTCTGCTGGAGGGCGTCACAAAAAAGCTGCGATGGGACCGCGGTTGGTGGACCCTTTGGTCTGTGCGCAGACATGCTTAGGATCCCTGCAGCACGTTCATCGGTCCCTGATGCATATATACTCAGCTCTAGGCATATGACAATCATCACCAGATCACCTGAAGAAACAGTTTGATGGTTTCAAAATAACGAGATACTTGAATTGGTCAACTCTTCTACCGCAGCCTTTCCGTTCATTATCCTCCATCTATCTAAAATATTGGTATTGCGAGCAGATGCTATGCAATAAGAAACAGATTTCCCTACTTTTCAAATCATCAACGACTTACGCCTTCCCATAATCACTCCCGAAGTTATTCAACACGATTCCAAAGTCTAATACCTCGACCGGTGCACTGGCCGCTGGGGGCCCTGCATCATAGCCAAACGAGCCGGGTTCATACCAAAAGTCTCAGCTTCAGATGGCTTCTCCGGCGCCTCAGCCTCCTCCTCAGCACCAGCACCCGCGTCCTTCTTGCCAGACTTGGCCTCCTTCTTCTGCTTACGCTCACTTTGTTTCATTTCGAGTTCGGTCTTCCTGACGCGGTCGCGGGCGCGCTCGTCGTGGAGCTTCTCGTTCTTGGCTGCAATTTTGGATTTGCGGGCTTCGCTATTGCCGCCGCCTCCAGCACTATTCATCTTATTAGCTTTTGTGCTGACAGAATAGAAAGGACGTAGGGCGCAAGATTAGCGTACCTTAGTTCAACATTGATCTTTCTGCCCTCCTTCTTCTTGGGGTCAGGGAAGACGGAATGGTGGTACTTCTTCAAGCACGTCACCATGCGGTCGAATCGATCAAACTCAACAAAGCATGTACCCATGAACTTGTCGCTACCCTTGTATGTACGCAGACGAATCTCGCTGGGCTTGATCTTTTCGAAGTGCTTCTCGATTTGCTCCTTGGTTGCAGAGTAAGGGAGGTTGCCTGGGAGTTGTTGATTAGCGGTTGGTAAGTAGCGTATATGGATGACTGAACATACCAACAAAGACGATAAAACGGCCTTGGTTGGCTTCGACTGCTGCCTCAGCTTCCTCTGCATCCTCAGCGTTTACTTCCTCGATGATTTCTACGTCTTCCGCTGCATCTTCGCCGTTGGTTTCGGCAGCAGTCTCGCCATTAGTCTCTGGATTCTCAGACTTCTTTGCCTTCTTCTCTTTTTTATCTTTCTTTTCCTTCTTTTCCTTCTTGTCCTTCTTCTTTTCCTTCTTCTCGGACTTGGACTCAGTATCTGCACCATTGGCTTCTACCGAGGCGTGCTCCGCTGTGCCATTCTGCTCCTCGGCAGCGTCTTCCATAGGCGTGTCCTCCGTCTTGACCTCATCCTTGCTCTTCTTCGACTTTTTCGACTCCTTGTCTTTCTTTTCCTTCTTTTCCTTCTTCTTTTCCTTCTTGGCTGGCGCATCAGTCGCGTCGGGCATTGGCTCGTCGTCGTTGATGCTGATAAAGTTTTCGGATTTCTTCATCTCATCGATGAGGGCAGCCTCCTCTGCGGGGCCATCTTCGGAAGCGTCGACATCCTTGGACTTTTTGGACTTTTTGGATTTCTTCTCCTTCTTCTCTTTCTTTGCATCTTCTACAGCCTCTTCGGCGGTGGATACTTCTACATTGTCCCTGTCCTTCTTCGACTTCTTATCCTTTTTGTCTTTCTTTTCCTTCTTTTCCTTCTTTTCCTTCTTCACCTCTACAGCTTCGACGGCAGGCGCATCCGAGGAATCTTCGACCTTCTTGGACTTTTTAGACTTCTTGGGCGCATCCTCTGCTACCTCAGTATCGCGCTTGCGCTTCTTCTCGACGCTGTCAACCTTGGACTTAGACATGATGGCGGCGCAAAAATGTTGGAAAAATGCTGTAGCGTCGCGAAACGAAATTCCGAGACCTTGAACTTTTTCTGCCGAGCGGTGAGCGCGAGGGCCGTCTTGGCGCGTGAACAACGGACGGCCGCAAAGAACCTCTCAAGAAAAGGCAAAGCAATTGCAAACGACAATGCGGCCGCCGGCGCATCTGGCAAAGCTGCCACGGGGCGCTTTGAAGCCCCCGAGAAACCACACGCCTAACCCTCCTTGTCCGCGCCAGTTCTCCTACAGACACCCCCGCCAATTCCTCGTTGCCCACCAGGGCTCTGCGCGGCCACAACTCCCGTTCCTATACCCCTCCGGCCAGCACCTCTCCAACGGCCAGCTCCAGCGTCTATTCTCCATTAGCGCAAATCACAAGAAATTTATCAAAGAGACTGCGAAATTGAGTGTGCGATATAGCATACTCATCTTCCTACTTACGTCATGCTTTAGCATTGCAAGTTTGGGCATACTGAGCGAACAGCAAGAGCGGGCATTTCCGTCCCCACATGAATGGAGTCTGATCACAAGGTTCAGATTTAGGAGAGGGAAGTGGTGGCAGGTTCCAGAAAACAATGAGGAAGAGGGTTTTCCGAATTGGGCCCGAGTCTACTCAGAACTGGAATATGCGCTGAATCGGCTTGAGAACCCAGACAAAGACGGAGCTGGTCTTGTGGAACAAGAAGAGGGAGGGATATTGGTCTCAGGAGTAGGCAAGGCAGGCTTTGATATATCGGCAAAAAGCGACGAATGGCGGCAAGGCTACTATGAGGTGCTCATGGGCATGGCCAGTGCCGCAGAGCGACTGGATGGATGGGTTACAGACAAGTGGAGAAGGAATGTCTGGGCACCAGAATTCGTTCCATCGGCGACAAATCCGCGACCGAAGGCTGTGCTTCCTGGAATGCCAGAAGTACCGGACGAAGAGCATCGTGTGCCTGCTGCTGAAGCACCCGAGTCCTTCTACCTCAAGATCATCACATCCAAGGGATTTACTACATATCAAAGGTTGTCTGCTGCCTTGGGATATGCCGACTGGCTCAGCTTCCGAAAGCTGCCAGACTCTGCTGAAGAGATGTACAGATGGGCACTAGACATTGCCATCTCTGGCCTCCCAACCTCAGAGCCTTCTGCGGTCATTGATCGAGAGACCGGTGTCCTATCTTCCACCGCACCAAAGAACTCAACCACTCCTAACATAGTCTATGCTGCTACAAATCTGGCTATATTCTTTGCTGAGCAAAGAAGAATTGCATCCGCATTACCAATCTTTGTATCTCTACTTCGAGCTCGCATCGGCGCAGACGAGGCCCGTATACCCACCATTGCACAACAAAAAGATTCAAGTTTGGTGGGCACGTTAGTCAGTCTTCTCCGTGAGCCAGATTACCCCCCGGTTCCGCCCTCAGGAGATGAACCTCTCCTACGCAAAGAAAATGACCGTTGTGAGGAAGCTGCGCTTAAGAACTACATTGGTGAAATACTATTCGCGACCGCAGGGTCATCTTCTACCCAGCGCCAGCAGGGCCTTTCTTGGGTCCGAGACGGAGTTTCAACCTCTAAGATTGCGCAATCTTTAGATGCTATACGCACTAACGGCGATCTTCGCAAGAAATGTGAAAAGTGCGAGGAGGTTGGCCTGGAATCATGGGGAAAGATCATGACTTATCTTGCTGCCGAAGCTAGAGAGAAGCGCGACAAGGCAAAGAATGGAGGTTTGGCAAGTTTGATGTGGAAGGTCAAAGGGACTAAAACACTAGATGAGGAAGTGGAGAAGCTGGAAGGCGAGGAAGAAGGCGTCACACTCAGGCTGAACAAACTAAGGAGTAAGATGCTAAAGGAAGAGTACGAAGAGATGGATCGCAAGTATGCACGGACTTTTGTATTCTAGTAGCTGACTGTACCATATATTCTACAGCAGGAGATAGTTTCAAGGACTACGAGAAAGCTTGTAGTTTCGCGTTGTCTTAACTCTCAGACCTTTCTTGAACACTACTTCCCCCCACGTGTAAAGTGATTCGCTCTCGGTAAAGCCCTGCTGCAGTGTGATGTGTGAGCATGGGATAGTGCATGTGCGCAGAACGACTGTTCAGGGGCATCACAAGGCAGAGTTCTCCTCATGTTTGCCATCCCATTTGGGAAGGTCACACTGTTCGGCTATCAACACTCCTGTTTACTCCACACCTAAGATTCTCGTTTCGCTCGTGAGCCCCATAGAGTCAGCAGACACTGCTGCTGCATACACCCCTTTCCTTTTTTCCCGGGCGCAATAGACGTCGGCGATCCTTATGCGCAAAAAGGCAACTCACAGCGAGTTTCTTGGCCACATTTCAGCTCGGAAATCGCCAGCTCCTAACATGGACATGCTTTTCGCGCTTCATTAATCCATCGGCTACGCCTTTGCCCTATCAAAGTCGCTGCATCCCTGAGCTGAAATCGCCACATACTACAGCCACCAGCCCTGCATTAGGGCCCGCGCACATGGCGGCCAACCATGCACGCCACATCCGCCTGCCACCACGAGTAGGACAAGACCCGATTATTTGCCGTTTGCTTGACTCAGGTCTCCACGTGTGATTGCGACTTTAGTTTATTGGTAAGGCCAAGATGCTCATCTGGACGGAGTCAGCGAATGGAATTGCAGCGAGGGTGTATGCATACAGAGATGGGTGGAACTTGCATGTAAAGGTGTGTGTGGAAGCAATATTAGGGGGATAATACATCTATGCAAAGCACTGCGAGGACAGGCTAGAGGAGTTCACTCAGCTGAATGGGTCTTGTGTGCAAGAGCTGCAGATATCATATAAGAAAGCCGTCATGAAGGCGCTCAATACAGG